CAAAACAGATTATCTGAATTAAAAGTCCCGCCAGAGCCAAAAAATACAGTGTAATAATAAATACTGCAATGATGTTTTTACTAGAATTCGAGAAACAGGACATTGACTAATCTAATAGAGAGGAGAAGTCGTTACATCACTTTTGTAGCAAAATTTTTGGATTACAACAAATCAAAACATCACTTAAAAAGTGGAATCGCACTGTTTCAAACTCCATTGATCTTATGTCATTTCATCTAATTTGTCAAATGTTGGCAAAATTTTCTGGGTTGAATCCGAAAGGACCGTATCTAAGTTTCAAAAAAGAAAATTTTTGAGTTGAGCTCACCTACTCAATAAAGTGGGCGAGTGAAACTATAGGAAATTTCATGTCGCAGTCGTACAACAAAGGCTAAGAAATGCACCTGCAAAGTTGTTCTTTTGCCAATCTAAACCTATTGCTTTTTTTGCTGTTGCAAAACCTCCCTATTGTTGTGATCCAGACATTTGGCTACCATGGTAATGTGTTGTCACGCTTCTCCTCTCTATTATTCCTTACAAATACTTGTGGCAGATTCCAGTTTTTTTTTTTTTAAAAACAACACAGAAATGGTTGTACCATGGAATTTCATCAAGCATATGAATTTAATGTCACAGAGCCAAGGGTGTAAAGTAGGAAGTGAGAATGAATAATCGGTTTCGGCCCCAGTTGTCTCAGGCTACACTCACACTATACTGGATATGAAAACCATATACATTGTAAGATAGGGCCTCTGTTCACAGAGAAGAACAGTCAAAAGAACATTTCTTTGTAAGAGATCTCACAAGTGGAGCAACACCTGTGCCACACTTTTTATTCTGACCATAAAGAGAACAAGCAGGAGTGAGGACTAGAACTCACTGAGAAAGAAGTATCGTAAAGTTCCGAAACTAATGACCCTCGTGATGCTACTTTCGGATATAGCACCCTTCTGCTATCACTACTTTCAGAGGCTCACTACTTTCAGGGAGTTGTTACTTTCGGATGGCTAAAACGTGTACTTCACATGGGCAGTTCAAAAATCCAAAAAAATGTGAAAGGAACACTTTTTTAGAAAAGGTACAAATGTAATGTATATCCTGTACTTTAACAGTTATTAATAGGAATGTCCAATCAGTGTGGCATTTTGTCAGAATATCTATCATATCCGTTGTTTATTGTAGGAAAGGGAATTAGTTTTGAGGAGACTATTTTTGGAGGGTAGTTATTTTCGGAGGGAGGGTCGCTACTTTCGGGATTTGCTATTCACACCTGTGACATTTTATTGCTACGTTCAGAGGTTTGCTACTCTTGACGGGTCATTACTTTCTGAACTTTATGGTAAATATTCAGGAATGAGGACTGGGATTTGCAGGTAGTTTGCCAAACCCTCTTGGCCAACTGCTCCAGTAGCAGGATGATCAGTATGTGTGAAAGACTTGTTTCAATCCCTGGTCTTTGCCTTTGATACTGTAGCGGATAACTCTTGATGTTGACATGTTGAAATCACTCATGACTCGAATACTCGTGATAGAATCTACAAACCTGATAATTCTCTTGTACATTCCAGAGCCTCCAGTATTCTCACCAAAGAAGTAATCTGCCTGGAAAGGAAGGAAAGCGATATATGTACGTGTAATTATTGCAAATTTGCACATTTCATTTTAATAAAAATAAAAAAAGGCACATTGTAAATAAGTAAAAAACCTCATACAACAATATTGTTTTGCGTAAGCTATAAATTTGTTTAAACAAAGTAATAATAATAATAATAACAATAATAACAATAATAACAACAACAATAATAACCGTGGTTCTCACAAGTCACATCCAAGCCGCTGTATGAAAATGAGCATGCGACCGCCTTCTGGGACGTCACATTATTCACTGACACAACTCAAGTAAAAGCTAGTAGAATCGACGCCATGGTCATTGACAAGACCAGCAAGCAAGTCAGAGTGATTGAAATGAGAAGTCCATGGCTGGAAAATAGAGAGTCTAAAGATTTCGAGAAGACAACGAAGTACAGTCAACTGGGACTAGAGCTGACGAACCGATATCCTGAGTACAAGGTCAATCAGTATAACATCATCATGGATGTCCTTGGGGGCTGTTCCAAATAGGTAGAGAAAAATATTAAAGAGCTTGTAGGAGACAAGTGTGAATCAATTATGTGCCAAATGCAAAAGGCAATCCTGTCTAGTTCATTACACATTGCTAGAATGTTCAAGCTGAGCGCTTAGATATCTACAGGAATTTTGGACACCTATCTTAACAGATCTTAATCTTGTACATTATCGAAATTTTATTACATGCCTTAGACGTTCCCATAATAAAATGGACAGCCATATGAAAGATGGTTTTCAGCTTTCGAACATTTTTATTTTAATTATTAAGATGTCCATAAAGCTTTTAGGATTTTATTTATTTACTTTTTTTTATGACACTCTTATCAAATCATTTTTAACCAGGTTTTTTTTGTTTTGCGCAAATTATTGTGTTATTGTTACCACAAATTTTAGTCGATGCTGCGGCTGGTTACGGTTTGCCGCCCAGCCGAAGCTTTTATTTTTTACTCTGGGCACCCAGATGTTTGTACTGCCATAATAATAATAATTTTGGTCCTTCCCTATGGGGTGTATGTACCTGTAGGTATCTGATTAGCACAAATCACTTCAAAAGTACCACGTAAAAAAGTAAAGCTTTAAATAATTATAAGTTATAGCGGATTTTATGTAGCTTCCTCAGCTAGTTTATAAACACTCCACTAAAAAAAGTTATGTTATGTTCTGTTTGGATTATTTGTTTCTGGTAAATTTTAAAAACAAAATACATGTAGCCCAGACAGAACATAACATGAAGAATAACCACCTGACCAACCACTTTTCTACACTAACTATTAACAGTGAAGAGAAAAAATTACCTTGGTCTCCACTGGTGAAGTCCTCTCAAAGGTTACACTTTTCCTTGCTGTTCCGCTACTACTAGAACTTGAAGAAGACCATAACGTTCTAGAAATGGGTCTGCTAATAGTAAAATTAAAAGGGTGGAAAATCAAAAATTATCAGTTTTAATAATACTGTAATACTGTACATAACTGTAACCATCTAAAAATTATTCTTTTAGCAATCGAAATAAGCACTTGTCCTCTCTGTGGTCCCTGCAGAAAGGATAACCCAGACCTAAACTATTGCTGCCTCTCTACAATGGCCACTTTCTTCTATCCCCAAGGTGGCCGTTAATTGTGGAGAGGTTCAACTGTACCCAGAAAATACAAAACATATTATTTTCGATCAGCACTGCTAAAGGTTGTTTTGACGCACTTTTTCTATTCCGGGTATAAACACCCTTGGATATAAGCCCCTCAGTTTATAAGCCCTCTAAAAATCGCTAATACTGAGATGTATAAGCAGCAGTTTACTGTACCAGAAAAATTTGAATTTTACATCAGTACAGTGTATGATGTGAAGAATACGTACTGCAGATATTGAGGGGAGTTAATTGCCTCAGCTGACCCTCCTCAATAGAATAATTCTTCATTAAAGACTAAGCCTCAACCAATATTATTTTGTTTACTGTTTCCTGTGTTGGCTGTACGAAACTGAAATTTAAGCACTCCAATCCCATTTTTAATATTTTTTTAAAAACAGACCACAGGTATCAAAAATTGTCGACAAGAAAGCTAATGCATTGCAAGGAGTTGTTCAAAATTATGTCAATTTCAACAATATATTAAGTAAAAATACTCAAAAGCGACGAGCAATATTAAGTCAACGTATTCAAAATGACTGGGGTGTGTTTAATCATCATGTACCTGAATCATAGACGTAGGCATAAATGCAGAAAACTTTTCATTAAACAATATTTTTCTATAAACACTCAAGTTTACAATTCAATCATCATCGATATGAAAGACTTTTCGTCGTTAAAACTTCGTGTCCAAGTTATCCAAAGGATATTGGTTTAATGCCCGGTTGGTAAAATTTGTCGCGCAGGCAACACCATTTAGCGTGCAGTTATGAAAGATTAGCCTTTCAGCAAAAACAAAAAACCGCATGTCCAACTTAAATGCGATTTCTACCCTTCTGAAGAGTACTTGCCATGTAGAAAAACCAACATCAGGACAATAGTTTTCGAACAACAATTAGTAAAAACTTGAGTGTTAAGATAAACAATGGATGCCAATTTGGGAGGATGGGTTTGATCAATCGATAAGCCAAAAACTCAACCTCATACTTTGTAATGATTATAGACTTCATATTTCAAAATATGACAAATATACAATTTGATGAAAGGTACTTGACGTGAAGGATTTATTCGCAACCAAAATCGAAAAATCCTCCTTACCTACGGCTAAATTCCTGGTGAGAAAAGACAGAGCTTTCATCAAACGAAGCCATCGCGAAATTTGGCCCTAAAAATGGATAAAATAAAGAAAACAAAATCTCAAGTGTAATTCTAAAACGGACACTTAAAAGTAAATATTATCAAAGTCACAACGGTGATGGTTATGAAAGATCAAGCAGAAGTTCAATACTGTACAAGCTAAATTACAGTCATATATCTCGCTGATCTGGGCGTATTAAAAGACGCTCATCGAAAATATTTCGTTGCTACATCCGCTTACTTTTTATTAACTTACCACTAGCTGAATTCTCTGAAGTATACCAAGTCGTCATTTTTTCATGTCTTGTTTTTACAACGACAGTGACCCGTAATAATCGCGAATTGTCCCTTTGTTCGGCTAGGGCAAGTAGTGTCTAGATTTAGTCGTCGCCATGATCGATTTGCAAGTCTATGGTGAAGATGACGTCACGAACTATGGGCACACCGGAAGTGGCGTCAAAGGAGTATTTTGAGTATGCTACTAATTTTTACCGCGATTTTACCGCTATTTCCCCGCAATTTGCTTGCGTTTGACCTTGGCTGCAACCTTTGATCAAAGAACAGAAACGCCCATAAAATCTTGGTTTCCTATGACAGGTGATGATATGTTTATAAACAGGAACGCAGTTTGCCCTCATTGAAAATCTGGCTCAAAATAATGCCCGGAAGTGAAGGCGAGAAATCATCATCCCTAGGGCTCCCTGGAGAAATCGCGGCTTTCCCCTACCAGTAGTGTCTCGCATGCCGATAGAGCGCAACGCTGGAACGTTGTCAGTTTCTGTTTGGCAATGAACGACTTCATCTTTGTTTACATCGTTGGCTGTGCACTTTTCTTCCAAGGCGCGTTCCCTTTAGATGATGATGGTGAGATCACGAGGGAAGAAGAAAGACTCCCGCCTTATCTCAAAGATGACGGAATCAAAAGGGTTGCTAAGCTCACGGAAAGCAACTTCAACAAGACAATGAAAGCAAGTCGATTACTAGCGGTGTTGTTTTACTACGCGAACAAGGAAGATCAAGAGGCCGATCGGTCATGGAAGACGGACGAAAAGATGCTTGAGGTAAGCTGCTAGCAGGGAGGCTATATGAAAAAGGACGATCATGAGTGCGGAAGCTCGTACCTTAAGCTTGGATCCAATTTAATGCACGTTTAGTACCGCAGACGGTACAGGATCTTTAGTCTTGTTTATCTTTCATATGAAGATAATCCTCTTTGCTATAACATTCATCTCGCGTTTGCCTGAATTATAGTTTGAAATCTTCGTTAAAGTTCTTATGCAGGCATCTGAATATTTTATGGAATTATCTTAGAGATAAGTCACACATAAGTATTGGATTGCTTTCAGCCTATATTTCCTTTTTGCTTTAGCTAATTCGTTTGGGTAAATGTTTGATGCACGATTGGTTCTCTTTTAAAAAATAGATTTATATAAATGGTCCTAAACATCAAAAGGACACAAAATCGTAAAAAATGATCCAATTCAAAATTTTAACTAAAGAAAAAAAGCTTGCAGTTTTAAACTTTAGCATATTAGTGGTAAGAAATTGTGAAGATAGTGTACTTAATGCTGAGAATATTATTCCTGTAATTATGGAGACCTAAAGTCATGAATGATTAATTCTATCTTGTGCTAATTGACAGTGTAAATTGCTTTTTAATAATAAATGATTTGCGTAGATCAACCACAGAATATAAAACTGGTGGTTCTTGAAGTGATTTTGCCTTTAATATACTGTAATCAAGTTGGAATTGTACTGAAAGAATTTCTTTAAAAAGATTTCAATTTTTGAAAAGATTTATATTTAAATATGATCTTTTCCATATTGCAGTTTTATGAAAAATTATTTTCATTTTTTCAGCTGAACAAATCTTATTCAGTTATAATATTAAACATGTCAGTCTTAATTTTTTTTTGAAAGTACAAGAACATTATATTAAAGGGTGTGGAGTGGGCTTAAAATTGCCCTTACAATAACATTTTAATTATTTTTTCTACACTAATGCTTAAAATTTTAGGTTAATTGCTTAAGGTTTTGGAAATTTTTTAAATTTTCAGCTGAAATGATATTTTCCTGTCTGAATTTCATTACCATTAAATGAGACAAAGACAATCCAGCAAATTCAATCTAAAGAAAAATTTGAAACATAAAATTTATACTTAGTTACAAAAAAGTGTCTTAATTATCTTGAGATCCCAGTTGTCACATTATTTTCAGACAGAGGTGATTAAAATATTCTCAAAATTGAAATAAGCAAAAAAAGGGTTTTTTCAGCTATACTTGATACAGATTTTGTGAAGATAATGCTAACTGAAAATGCTTCATTTTAAAATTATTATTGGCCATAAGGGGAGATATTTAGAAGTAAAAATTATCAAAGATAATGGAGTATTTGAGTATTTATTTTGCTATAATCATCTACATAATTTGTAATTTTTTTCTGTCCTTTATAAATTTTATTAAAGGACAGAAAAAAAATTACAAATTATGTACATGATTTTTCCTTGCTATTCAAACCGTAAAAAGAGATTAAAAAAAGAAAAAAAAACCAGCTGTTTACATAAGAGAGATAAAGGGATGTTAACTACAACTCCATTTATATTTCCACTCTGAAAGGATAACTTGATCTCTGCTTGAAAAATAATGTAACATACATGTGTCAAACTTGTTTTTATCACTCATTTCCCCTCGGATTCTGTTTGAGGAATTGCTTTATCTTTACATCAATTTTCTTCTAACATTTTCCATACACCATCAAGAGAAAAGGTTATGAGAACTGATAAAATGATCACCAAAGGCAAAATGTGTTGATCTTCTATCAAATTCTCTCAACTAACTCTTAAAGAAAATGTATGGAGGTCAGTTGAGAGAATTTGTAGGTAATTATGTGAATAAGGGTACTCTTCTCTACAATGGTATCTCACATAAGATGAGACCTCTCACATGGTCACCTCCCTTTTCAGGGGACACTAATTGCAAGAGGACAATCTTCATGAGGGTGTGGTCTTAACTTGAAGGGGACATCTCGCTTAATGGGACACCTTGTGCATTTAATTATTCCTCTCCTCCCTTATAGGCATAGGGCACACCTGATAAGATTACTTGGATCAATTTAGGTCTCTGGGAAAATGGCCACCCACCCCTCCCCTAAGTCAACATTATCACTTACTTCTCACCTAGGGCAAATGTTGGCCTAGGGGAGGGGTAAGTGGGCAGTTTCCCAGAAGCCTAAATTGATACGATTACTCTTCTATAGGGTCAACTGTGGATAAGAAGACACCCTTCATAGGGGTTCCTCTATGCCGCTTGTTAAGGGGGCACCTTTACTTGAGGAGCCAAGTCTCATAATGGTCCTTCTCCTTCCATACAGGAACATATTCCTTAAGAGCATACTACATGTACATTTACCTTTCCTTTAGGGTTATCTTAAATAAGGGGAATCCCCCTCTCCATAATGGGGTACCCTCTACAGGGCACCACCTACCAAAATGGTACTTCTCTCTCCTTAATTAAGGGGGCATATCCCTTAAGGATACATACACACATACCGGTACCTCTCCTTTACAGGGATATCGTGTATAAGAGGACACCTTCCACAATAGTACCTCTCCTTTCAGGGAACACTTAATATAAGAGGAGACTCTCTCATGAGCGATTGCCCCAATCTAGGCCTCTGGGGTATTACTATGTAGCTTCCCCTTTATTAGGGGCTAAACTTTATAAGGGAACACTTACCACTGAATCCTTTTCCTTCCACATGGGGGTGGATCATTTAAGGTTTGCACTTGTGCCACTCCCTTGTCCTTTATAGGAAACTTTGCTTTATGATAAGAGGAGACCCACAAAAGTGGCTTCTATATATTCTTCTTTGTTTTCACTGTCATGCCCTCAGAAATAAAAATGCAAAACCGCAGGGTTGTCACTAAGATTTCAAGTTTCTGGGTAAATACAATAAGTAGGCGGGGAGTGAAACAGCTGGGGATATCTTTTGGTTCTATTTTTCTTCTATTTTCTAATAAAAGTAGCTGGGGGCCACACTCATAGTAGCCGGGGAAAATCCCTGGCCCCCGGCTCTTAATGACAGCCCTGGTGAACCATTCAATACAGAAAATCCAGAATATGGGAAATGGAAGAAGATAAATATACAAAAAGCCTGGCCAAGAATCAGGTCTGTGTGAGATCTCGTATGCGAGAAATTCGGAAAAAACGTTTTACCCAAATTTATATAGATTTGGATGGAGATGCCATGTTGGTGTCCCTTTAAGGGTCTCAAATACTGCCGCTGGAAACCAACAGAAACATTTGTTTTTGAGTTTTTCTTCAAATGCATAAATTCATCGCTTGAGGAACTCATAAAGATTAAAGTAATATTTATTCTGAGACAAAGAATGTTTAAATAGCAAAATGTCAAAATATCGGTAACGTTTTTAACCCACACAAGAGCTTTCCCGGCCGCCAGCAAAATGTCGCGTCACGCAAAACAAAGCACCCTTTCGAACTGGAAATTTGTAGGTTTTTAGGTGCTGTAATACCTCATGGAAGTAGAAACTCAGAAGAATCGATGGTTTGTGAGTTTGAATTTTGGTGACATCATTTGAAAACCCAGAATACACTAAGGAGAAAAGGGGGCCACTTCCCACCTTCCATGCATAAGGGGTATATCCCTGAAGCAGACACATGTAGTTAATCTTCGAGGAAACACCATCCAAAGGGGGAAGCTTTCCATAAGATAGCCTCACCTATAAAGGAACACCTTCCACAGACATTGTCTTTCAATAGCACAAAATTTTCCTGATGTTTTTTGACGGGTGTAGATGTAAATATCTGACTATTCACAGCGTGTAAGAATTTGTCCCTTCTTAGGCTGTTTACAGTTTTCTCTTTCTAAAATCAATTACCCCTTAAAAAAAAATCTTTGCATGTTCTGGAATGTACAGAAAATTTTGGTCTCGATAGAAGGTTTCGAAAAAACCCTTGCGCAAACCAAATCAACCAAAATCCCCCTTAAAAAGTGAGCCTCTAATATGTGTTTTTCCGCCCACAGATTGTTGCAAGGATTCTTCAGCCACAGGGTGTGACTATAGCTGTTGTCAATATCGCAGAAAGCATGTCTCTAGCGCAAAGTGTGGGTAAGTTCACTGTTATTCCTTTGAATAACTCGAAGAATTGACTCAAAGCCAGATTCAGATTCGATATTTTTATACTGATAAATTATGATAGTGTTGATCGATAAACTTATATACGTTGGTCTGTTTAAATGTCTTGCAGGTGTTAAATACTCTGGTGCAATTATGGTTTTTCATAAGGGAAAGACAATAGAGTATTATGGTCACAGGTGAATGATTAGACAGCTGAAGAAGAGTTATTTTTTTGCGTTTTACAGTTGACCGAAGGCAAGCACAAAAAGAGCGAGGAGTCCGCGCCTTTCCCCGCAGTGCGTGTCTCTTGCTCCACGCTTTCCTGCTTCGTTCGCCCAAAAAGGCGAACAAATAGCGCCTGTTCTACATGTTAGTGAATGATACCCTTTCTTGACATGTAGCAAAGAAAATCACTTTGTATCAAAGTTGACCCTGAATGCGGCGTTCTTAATGTGGATAAAAAAGCTGGTACTTTTACTTCCGATTATTTCCGTTGAAAAGGCTTTCGCAGTGAAACGACGGTCAGAAAGTACCCGCCCGCGTACGCAGGGCCATACTTGTATGTATGCGAAATTGCCAAAAACGGAGAAAAATTTCAATTTTCAAAAATACCCGGATACGTATCGACGAGGCCTGGCATCAGTATCCCAATTAAGGCGCGGTAAAAAAGCATCCAGTAGTGTGGCGTTGAACGGTGCTTTGGCAAATTTGCTGAGAGTTCCGCAAAATTTATTCCTACACTGACTTGGCAAGGCAAGCCAAGTCACAATTCATGCAAAAAGTAAACGAATCTGTTATAATTTAATAATCAAACTCGATCGCAATCACGAAATGAAATAAGCTTTAAAAATACACACACGGAACATTTCAAAAACACACTCATAATTATACATAATTATGCAAACGTTTGAACAATCAACCAATCAGAATCACCACCCGATTTTCGGGTAGTGACGTCACTGGACGGTATTAACGGCCGGTCGATTCAGACGTTGCTGAGAGGAGAAAACGACTCAAAGTAATTGTCTGAAATTCAGGCTAGCCTTTATCGCCATATACAAAATGGTCTTGCAGAGTAATGAAGAAGCCATCAAACAAATTTCATCAGGGATTACTAACCATGATATTTGTTTGTTTGGATGATATTTGCAGGCATAACATTAAAATTTGAAAATGTTGACCCAACTTTTTCAAGTTTTTTTAATCCATGCCCACCCTTGCTATCCGTGGCAACAGACAGCAGGAAAAAGGTTTCAATGCCTAAAAATAGTCTTAAATAAAAAAGCTGGACCATTATTTTTGAAATTCAATTGACGCGGAGACAAGTTTTAGCTTTTTAAGAAGATAGCAAATGGCCTGGTATGGCCCCTTTTAATCAACACACTTTTTTCGATTTTTAACAGGTCAGCAGATATTCTTGTAGGATTTTTGCACAAGGTTAGTCCAGCAAGTTTTAAAACGATATACGTTATTAGAAAACGTGATGCACATAGAATTTTAACCTAAAAATAGAGCTACATCACTTTAGAAGTGCAGTCGAACTTCCCATAAGCGACCTCCCACATGGCTAAAATTTGGTGGTTGCGTACAGGCAGTGGTCGCGTGCGAGAGGTTCCAATTTAAGGCATTGGCTGGGTAACTGATATTGACTTTTTGGATTGCTTGTCAGTTTCTCCGTTTTGCTGTTTAAGAAACTTTATATCAGCACTTTTACGCTAGAAAATGATTCCTTTCTTTTGCCGCGATGCCTTCTCAATGAACCAAATGCAAAAAAGCGCGCGACTTCTACAACTGTATGAAATATAACTCTTCCAAAATACAAAATTGACATTCAGCGTTATTACTAGCTGCACAAGTGGGCAAGATGAAGCGATTCCTGTGTTCTGATTGGCCGCCGAGCGGGCAAGACGGTCGCATCTTGTCCACCTGTTCGCTTTTAATTTTGTGGTTGTTGTTGTTTGTATGGACTCCTACTCTATCACGGTCCATGAAATACACAACAGGTGTAATCTCGTACCCAGATCTCAGGTGAGGTGGGGAGAAACTGGGGCGTATCTGAAGACACCTACGGATGAAAACTACCTCGCAGTCTGTTCGCCAATGTTGACCGCTTGCCAAGATTTACTTTATTAAATCAGAGTAGAATATTCGGGCTATATTTCAAAAGAACTCAATGACTGGTCCTCGGGAAACTAGTTAATTTTGCTTTCTTCGAATTTCATTGTTTCCTTAGGCGGAACCTTGCATGGTAAGCATCGCGAATCTCGGAAAGAACTTATATTTTAAGTTTCCGGAGGGGCTCGTTATTAAGCGTTTTGTTTTGATAATGCCCCTTTTTATTGTCAGATGTTTGAAGCTCCAGTCACCTTTATCGAAAGCAAGAAACAGAAAACTTCATTTGAAGATGTGGATGGCAATAAAGTGATTGGCTATTTGGAGAAGGATTCACCTGGTACGTCAAATAACATTAATTTTCCGGATTTCAATACATTTTCATACAGAGGTGTCATCAGATATCGTCGGACTGGCAAAATCATGATTTTAAGTACAAGATATCAGAGCATGTCAAACTCGTCAGTGAGACCGCAAAATAGGCCGTATTTTTGCGTAGGTCAAGAAAGCGCAGGCGGTCACAGAAAAGGTCTGAAGGGAGGGGAGACTGGAGAGAGACGCGAAAAGTACGGCTTTTTCATTTTTTTTCTGCCTTCGTTTTTTCTTTTGCCTCACACACTATAGGGCTCTGCGAGGCTCGCGTTTCGCGCAAGGATCTCACGCGAGTGAAGACTGACGGCGAGACGGGTCATCCTCAGTTATTTTTGCGCTTACTTCTCTTTTCGCTCCTCTCGACTAACTGAGGTTTAACAAGCTTAAGTCACTCTCATAGCATGATTTCCGACCGATAGGGAAAAAGGAAAGACACGCCTAAGACCCTCCCCCCATCCCCTCGGCTATAGCCACCCTTAGTACACTTTTTGAGCACATTTTTTTCTTTAACAAAAGCGATACTACTTCTACCTTTCACGTTATTTTTTGTCTTTTTTCATGTAGAAATAAAAGCGTTTGAGAATTCTGCCAAGCAGTACCAACCGTTACTTCCATTTTTTGCAGTCTTTGATAAAAAGGTATGTTATATTGTTATGGGTTGTACTGTTATATTGTTTTAGAGCACCATTAGGTGCAAGTTAACCGCGGTCCCATGAGCGATTCTTTAGCTTACAAAGGCAACTTGTTATTTCACAAGAGAAGCGACGCCAGCTAAGCTTAAGTCGGTGAAATGGCTATGCTTATACAAATCAATTGAAATCATGGTCTACCATCTGTTACCAGTTTGTATAATGATTTCTATTAATTAGCGGAAGCGTTGTGGTGAACTGGTGAACAAATCGGATCTTCGAAGTTTGAGTTCAATCTTTTCCATCGCGTTGTTATCCTGGACAAGAAACTTTGCTTCATCTTGTCCTTCTACACTCAATTCACTGCGTTTTTACGTGTGCCGGTCATAGGCGGTGGAGCAAGGGGCGCAGGGGGTCCATACCCCCCCAAGCAAAAACTTGGGGGAGCCCCCCCACGTTTTGGTGCCGAAAAGCACTTTTAAAGATGCATTTCACAATACCGGTGACGTAGGCATCTTCAGAGGGGACATTTTTTGCCCTCAGACGAATCAAGAACTACCTAAGAAGCACCACGAAGCGGGACCGCATGAGCAACTGCCTACTGCATGATGCATTGTCTAAAATCGATTACGGACACACTAGACACTGTGAAGATTGCAGAGAGGTTTGCGTGTGCCAGTGAACAACGCAAAGAGCATTTTGGAAAATCTGAGAAGGGGTCTGCGTATGGCTGAGTGGAAGATGACGTTTCAAAACACTCCGCTGCCTCTGCCTGCGTCATTCTGCTCTGGGTTACACTGTGATAGACTATTATCCCGCTCAGGGAGATGTGCATGGGAAGAAAAGAACTCTTACTCCTATGTTTGGTGCCTGTGTGCACGGTGTCCGAGTACGGTACTCACTGGGCTTTAATGTGAACACACCTTTTTCAAGTACCCACAAAAGGAATTCAGGCACCGTCGAGTCCTTGTACTCGGACACTTAGGTAGGCACAGGATCCCTGTGTGCTCACCGTTTTTATTAGTTCCAGGGCAATCCCGCTCTTCTCGGGTTCCCTGCGAAGCTCAAGTTTTAAAATGGCGTCTGACGGGGCGAAAGGGAGTAACTGTGCACACAGTTTCGTATCGGGTACTAGCTCAAGGTGTGAACACAACACCATTTTGTGCCAGTATCCAGGCACTGGTTCCCTGGCCTGACACCAAGTGTGGACAGCCCTTTAGATGCTTCATACCTATTGAAACCTGGGTAACTCAGCACCTGCTGAATGGGCCTCATGCGCTTAAGCAACGACAACGGCGACGGCAACGAGAACAGCAAAAAAGCAAAAGGGTTTAGATTGGCAAAACAACAACTTTGCACGTGCATCACGCTTTTTTGTACATTTGTTTGCCGTCACCGCACGACTACAACGTGAAAATACCTAATTTCACATTTTTGTTGAGAACGTGAACAAAAGACAACGACTTTACAGTATTTTAGAATTCAGCTCCAGAAAAAAATTGGCAATATTTGACGAGTTGAACGAGATGGAATAAGCGCGATAAAGTTTGAAGCAGCGTGAATTCACCTTTTAACTCCTGACGTTTTCGGAGCCGTAGTTGTCGTTGTTGCTTAAATTCCGTAATGATCCAAAGCGCGCAGGGCTTAACCTTATCCTTACTTTTCCATTGCTATCTTGTTTTCACCAGCTCGCCAAATCATTTAGGTTCAAGAAGCCCAAAAGTATACAACTGCTAAAACCATTTGAGAAACCTGTTTCCTTTCCGTCGAATGAGGTAAGGGACGCTTTATAATGGGAATTCAAAACCTTGCCACGAAAAATGCTTTTTCAATGGACAGAAAGCGCTCATGCGCATAGTTGACATAATTAAAAAGGAAAATAAAAACCTGACGAAGATCGAGGATAGAACCGTCCATGTGGCCCAAGTTTGCCTCCGGTCGCGAGGAAAAGCCATAATAATAATAATAATAATAATAAAGCCTTTATTTAAAGAGGGTAGCACTTAATAGCCAAAGGCTAATAAACTTGTGGCTGAGTAGAGTTTTAGCTGGTTGTAGCCTCCTCCGCAGGCTTCACTGTCCTGTTTTAGAGAACGAGTGGGAGAATGGGGAGAGAACGGGGAGACAGCTTTTTTCCTTTTCTCGTCCTCAAACTCCTCACGGTCAGTGTAATCGGAGTTTCACTTTTCAAAATGAGGCCAAGTGCACAACCTTTCTTGTGAAAATGAGTTTTATTTGCATGAAAATGAATAATCATTTCCATATCAAAGGCTGAGCACTTAACCTCGTTTTTTTCCGGGGAACTCGGAAATGGCTTGTTCTTTTCCTTGGCATCCTCCATGCTGCGGGCACTGCGGTTTTCCCGTTGCCTGAAAAGCCACTCTTCCAAATTCGCGTTGTATCTGTTACGCTTGAGAACATGTTAACGAGTTTTTAAGAGCTCCTCTAGAGGTCTTCGTAAGAAAATAAATTACATTTTTAAAAGATGTAAATTACAGGTGATTCTTTAAGACTACTTCTAGAGTTCTTAATGTCAGTCCCATTTACACAGCTATAATCAAGCAGATCGCTGAACGTTTTTGAGTTATTACAGCAATTACATGAAAACCTTACAGGCTTTAGATGAAGCACTCCTCCTCTACATGTTTGATTTAGCTTCTAACATTAACAATAATTTGGACGAAATTCAACATAGTTTAACATATTTTGGGTCACTAACAGGTGAAATTGTGGTGTGGCTAGTAAAAAAGTACGCTTCTCCATTTTAGTTACCTTTGTAAGAAAATCCTATGCTTTAATTATAGGCTATAACAGAAGAAAACATAAACAACTTTATCGAAAAGAACAAACGGTAAGTTGTCAGTTACAATTACTTGCTATCCTTTTAATGTCTATGAATAGGAATTGATTGAATGTTCGTAAATTTCTCTTTTGACCTTGTCTCAAACAGGGGTATTTTGACTAAGATAAGGCTTGAAGATATCCACGATACGTGGGTAAGTGACTGTCGTGAGTATTGGCCATAGCATTTATCTTCCATTTCTTATAAGGGAGAGGAGTTTGAGAGTAGAAGGCAGTTTTTTTTTCAGATACCGTAAAATATTCTCGTTTTATGATTCGAGATATTGGTGGTAATTCGAGAGTGGCGGGGGAAGGGGGCTTATTTGAAGGAGGCACTTATTTCGTTCGGTTCGAGTATTTTGCAGAACGCTGAACGCCGAATGACGGCCGAGTAATTGGGGTTAGGAAAGTGAGTGAATCTGGTTCCAGGTAGGGTCATTTAACTAGGAAAACAGAGCTGAAACTTGATTCGCTCAATTTCCTAACCCTAATCAATAAACTTCGGAGTCGTTCGGTGTTCTGCAGGTCGCCGAACGCCAAATGCAGAACACCGAACGACTCTGAAGTTTAGTGATTACAGTTAGGAAACTGACTGAATCAGGTTTTATTTAGGGTCAGTACATACTGACCTGAAACTTCATTCACTCAGTTTCCTAACCCAAATCACCAAACTTCAGAGCCATTCGGTGTACTGCAAAATACCCCTGCGGAGAGGAGTCCATTCCAAGGGACACAGCTTATTCGAACGTTTACGATATTTTCCTTAATTGTTTTTCAAAGTCCTAGCCTGCGTTATAGCTGGTGTATATAGAAAGTGTTGCGGGGGGGGGGGGGGGGGGGGACCCAGGGCCGTGGGTGCAGTTTGCTGAGGCCTTTTCATTTCCTGTCGTGTTTTTTTATTTTTTGTTTTTGGTCGTACGGGCCCTGTTGGGTGGTGGGAGGTGCTTGTTGGGGGGGGGGGGGGGGGGGGGGGGGGGGAGGTACCCCGGGCTTTTTCCCGCGAGAAGGAAACGAAAGGGTATCTGGTCACCTCGCCACCAAGAGTAGAAATTAGCTTAAGATTGTTTTGAACCTTCATGAACGGAAATTTCTTTAAAACCGTTACTTTATTTTCATATTTCAAAGAAATTGCTAGTGCTTGTGAAACGTTTCTGCCAGGGTTTTTAACCTTCAAATGTCAAAGTTTATATTCACGGAACCTATACATTTACTAGTATTTGCATTATCAAAAGCATACTGAGACGTTAGAAGCAAGGATCGTCAATTAGGATCGACAGATTTGTATTTGGGTGGACTTTAAATTCGAATAAGCTTGACGAAAAAGTAAAAATCTTAGGTACGTAATCCTAGGTATTAAGCTGTGTCATTTATTTCAGAGTTATTCGTTGATGGCGAGTCGACTTCTTGTGGCGATTTCGTTGGTGGCGAGATGACCGTTAACCAACGAGAGGGGGTATTTAGAACGCTGCCATCAGTTCCCCTTTGAACTGTGATTCTAAATAAGGTGTTGCTATATGGGAACAAAATACCGTAGTTTAAGTAGTGGGTGACCCCCTTTGAAATATGAATACAGTATCTGAATACATGATCTTTTCTCTTCTAGTCAACAAAAAAGGAAGGATACCTTATAACAGCCTTCGTGAGACTCGAAACAAACGGTGTGTTCTTGAGTTTTTGTTTTAAATATCAAGTAGAAAGCATTGCATTTTGTAATACTGCCCTGACTGATTTAAACTGTGAGTTTTAATATTTTTTTGATCCCTTTTTATATTCACATTAGACTCACTTTTAAGTTCTGAGGAAACCTGATTCTTTATCAGCCCCATGGTTTCTTTCATGATCAGGTTTCCTCGCCATCTGCTTTCCTTTCACTATCTTTATAATTCAACTTAAGTGTAATGATGTGTGATATGGAGAATAAATATGAATGAATGAATGAACGAACAAACGAACCAATTAAATAGGGCAGCACTACATGTACTGTCTCGGGTTGACTACAAATACAAAGAAGTGGAAAATATTTTGTTGGTTTTCTCATTGACTTTTTTGTTTCGCAGGCGTCCAAAATGTACCGACATTTGCATGTCCTCTGTTGTCTTAAAGTGAAATCTGAATAAAAATCATTCCTTGTTTTTTGTTAGCACTGACTAGGCAATCAGTTAATTCCAACGTATAAAATTAAACATGTGGTCATGTGTACTACGTTGTTAGTACGCTGTTTACACTAATATTCTCATTTGTTTTCTACTTAACATTTTTTTTGCACACTTTTCTGTAGCTAAAACAGGAGCCTAACTTTCCGGAGCTACTATCTGCCGTTTAGTATAAATATATTGATGATTATCGAAAATAGAGCGCTGTGATTAGCTAGGATCTTCGCTTCGATCATCCCGCTATAATCACCGCAAGGTGATCATAACATTGAAGGCTAGCAGTTTTCAAAGTGGCAGCCAGATTTGCAGATGTTTCGGAGTCGGAAATTGATCAATAATTTTATTTTCTTGTATAATCATCAAATCAATGTAATTATTATACTAAAACAATTAGTCGCCTCACTAGGTGTTAGATAGACATGGAAACGGCACCCGAGGCTTTCTGGCGATTTATAGATTCATCCTTCGCGCCCAAAACACTTTCAGCCAGTCACAACAGAGTAGGGTACAGTGAACTTTCCCTTAAGGGACACCTCTATAAGAGGGACACCTCGGTAAAACGGACACCTATTGTTCGTTCGGATCAATTTAGGTTCCTTGGAAACTGCCCACCTACCCCTCCCCTAAGCCATCATTTTGCCCTAAGTGAGAAGTAAGTGTTAATGTTATCTTAAGGGAGGGGTAGGTGGGCAGTTTCCCACAAACCTAAATTGATCCAATCGTTCTTGCCTTTCTTTACGCCCTTTATTTAACTCTCTACTACAAGATTAACTATTAGATGGAAACTTAGTGCTGGTCCCAAAGGTGTACATCTAAGAGAGAACTGTCTGTCCAACAAATGAACAGCAGAGGAGGAAAGTGAAGAGTCATGCGAAGATGGCCGAAGAGTCATCGGACTGATCCAGCAAATTTCACGGGAAAAAAAATATATGAATTATTAAGGCGCTCTGTAGCCTTTACCAGGCTCTCCGTCAGTGCGAAAAAAGCGAACGAGAAGCGAAAAAAGTCGCAAGGAGCAAAACAGTGAGCGAGCGAAAAAAGGCGGGAAGGGAGAAGTTTGGTTTCAGCATTTTTTTTTGTCCACCTCATTCTCTCTCCCCAGTCCTCACGCGGTGTTTTTGCAGTTTTTTTCGATCCGTTTTCCCACTGTCTTGGAGCCTAGAATAGGCTACAATAGGCGCTGTGACACTCGTAGGGGATAGAGACTCTTAGATGACAGGCTTCTGAAGGAAACAAGTAAAAATCTAATGTACCTTACCTTTTTTTGCTTTCTTTTTCGTAAAATGTTTTTTGAACTACCTATTGATAGAGGTGTTGTATGTCTCCCTTAACCAAAAAGCAAACCTTAACTAGCAACCATAAAAGGTAAACGTGAGCTTTGATGAGCAAGAGATTGATATCGTGTTGTAAATCAAACGTACCCAAAGGAAATTACAGCTTACAACTGGCCTTATTTCCTTTCAACAGAGGGCGCGCAATTCTTCTCGTTGGTAAAGTCACTGGCCAGGCGTTATGGTGACAACGAAAAACTGTACTTCTTATGGGTCGATCCTGATCCTTTTCCAACGGTGAGTTAAGCAAGAGCTGCGGAAGATTCGGACACATCATGCAGTGTTAATAAGATTGGGAAAAACTGACAACAATACTTGACTGGGACACATGAAGCCAAAGACCTTCCATCCTTTGTTTAAGTTGCGGGCTATGCCTTATATATAACTGCTTCGGCTATCAATGAAGCTTTTCTTAATCAGAATTCGTTAGTTCATGGAATAACCTGTAGAGTCGTGGAATCTAAGGCTGAGAAAAGTCGTGAAATTTTAGCCTGCGTGGCAGCCGTTCGAAAGGGGAGGGGAACAAGATTTCGGGCGCGTGAGAAGAGCGCCTTCCCTTTCGAACGCCTGCCACGCTTGCTGGTGAAATTTAACTGTGGGTCATGGAAACCCATAAGGAATTTTTTTTTAATGATACAAAGTCTCTCTAGTGCCGGGTGCTCTATAGCAATAAACGTGATAAAAGCAAGACCAAAATGTAAGAAAATGCAAAAATTAATGCGAGTCAGAAAACTCGATCACAAAGTCAGAAAATACATTAAAAACAGTTATCATTTTGACGGATATTAAAAACAGTGCCAATATTAGCTTAAGATCATGACGATTACGGAAGGTTATGGAATTTTAATGCGTTATTATTTACTGCTTTTTCAGCCGATAGAAATACATTGAAACGCTCATACTCCTCAACACCTGTTGAATCTTGTTGCTCTGTGTTTGTTTTATCGATTTAAACCCCATGGAAGAGGCTCAACTTTAAGAGAAATGAACGCTTTTTCAATATCCAAGCGGTATTTATAAAGCACAGTCCGTAACACAAACAGAGGATGGGAAACCTGTGGTATAACACGCAACCCAGGAGCAAACTTGCAGCTTTTTTAAGTTTTTCATTTTCTTTCAGATGCGTGACTACTGGCAGAAGTCGTATAATATTGATGTCAACTCGCCGGTGATAGGAGTCATTGATCCAAGACTGGTATGTCACTTCTGTGTGATTTCTTGTAACCCAGCTCAGAAACTGCCATCTTTTTGGTTACCTCTTGCGGTGTGGGGACGCTTCATACTAATGTTGAATTTAAATGAAATATTTTTCATTACTGAGATACGTACACTTACACAAGAAATTTTACAAAATTACAGTGACGAGGAAAATTGCACATCCGCCATACGCGCTCACATGCGCACAGACTTTAATTCATTTAAGACTGTGATTTTCTGTTCCCGTTTCTTAAATGAGAGTACATGACATTACAGTGTACACCTGTCATAATAAATTATGTGTCAGTATCCCAACTCTTGTACCAGACCCATCCACACACTTTGTTTGGGATGAGTTTGTCGTTGGTATTTGCCACTTATTCGCCATTATTATTCGCCATTCGCCGTATTTGCCACGTATTCGCCACTTTCACATTACCTATGATGCATCTTGTTTAATCCCCCCTGCCCTCCCCCCCCCCAAAAAAAAAGGAAAGAAAAAAAGAAAACAATTTGCATAAGAATTACTCACCACTTTCACAAAGACCATAATGCACCTTGTTTACCCCCGAAATCTGGCATAACCATTGTCTTCGATTTCTCTTGGGACGAAGGTAATACCCGGGGAAATTGGAAACAATGTTATACATTATGCATTTATTCATTTATTTTATTTTATCTTTTTTTTTTTGTGAGGGGGGGGGGGGGGGAAAAATAGAGGGTGGGTTAGGGTTTTGTGGCAAAGGGAAATATAAAAAAAAAACGTATTTATGCAATTTTTGTGGGGGAGGGGGGTGGGAAAAAAGGGGGGTTTTTGCGATAGAGAAAGAGTTTATTATTTTTGTTTTATTGTGTGTTTTTTTTTTTTTTTTTTTTTTTTGGGGGGGGGGGGGGGGGGAATATACAGGGTGCATTCTGGTCTATGTGCAAATGGAGAATTATAGCAAAAACGATTCTTATGCATTTTTTTGGGGGGGAGGGGAGGGTAAAACGAGGAGGTTTTATGCATGAGCAATGTGAAAGTGGCGAATAGATCTTGTCATAGTTCCGGGCATTATTGTTAGTTGGTTTTTGTTTCTGTTGTTTTGTTTTCTGTTTTTTTCCCCTCACACTCTCAAGTTTAGGAACCAGTTTAACAAACATAAGTTTCTGATCACTGAGATTCATATGTCACATTATACAGAGCAAAAGTTCCTGGTTTGCGAAAAAAGGTAAAGAAACAAAACTCCGGCACCTTCAGCAATGGGTGGAAGACATACTGGCAGGAAAGGTGGATCTAAAGGAACCCGAAAATACTGAGGATACGGCACAGCAAGGAAACAGCAAAGGAACGAACAAAAAAGAAGAACTTTGACGATAGTTTTACTTAAGAGTCATAATAATTCAGAAGCCAAATATGCATGTACTTTAAGTTTTGTCAAGACTAGTACTGATAAGACTTAAAGGGTGAGATTTGCCAAGACAGTATAGCCCAAGGTGGCAACTTGCATGGCGAGTCACGTGAAGATAAGATAATCAATTTAGGTTTCAGGGAGACTGCCCACCTACCCCTCCCCTAAGCCAACATTTTGCCTTAAGTAAGAAGGAAGTGATAATGTTGGCTTAGGGGAGGGGTAGGTGAGCAGTTTTCCAGAAACTCAAAGTGATCCGAATTTAATACGTGAGAGAAACCATGGAATATTTGTTATGTATCATTTAGAATCTGAAATATGAAGACTACTGAGACATGTATTAAGAATGCGAATTCGAAGTATATATAGTGGATGGTTTCATTAGAAAGCCTCTATCGGTAGTGTACAGGTACATCTATTTGACCCCAAAGTGACGCCTAGTGTTTCTTGAATGCTTACCAGAAATGTCATAAGCTGTCGGTTACTTCGGCTAGCTCACGACACCCTCCTTGAAAGTTATTGAAAGAACAGAGTCTAAAAATCATTTTATTTTTATCATGTGATATTTTCTCCCCATCGGGAGCCTAAAAGAATACGCATAGCACTCTTTAAATGTATTGTTGTCTCTTAGAAGACAGTCTGGTACCCGGCATTCTCATAGTTATAAATAAACACAAAATTATCGCCGGATAACTACGGGTAGTCTCTTGTGTTTTTGCCCCGAGTGGACTGAACAAAATTTTTAAAAAGCGGCGCCGCAATTGTTTAAACAGTGCACAAGAAATTCTGTAGTAACTTGCGTCGCCTAGCGGCAGGTTTCGTTTCCATCCGTGTAAAGGAACCTATGTATCCCCTTACCTTGTTCCCTTGGAATAAGTGCGGAGGGGAAGACCCGCACCAGTTTAAAAAATACGGCGGATACGGCACAGCAAGGAAGCAAGAAAGGAACGAAAAAAAAAGAAGAACTTTGACGATAGCTTAACGTGAGCGTAGAGCCATATTTATTCAGACGCCAGAAATACGCATTTACCATAATAAGTTTTTCAGATCTCGAAAAAATAACCATCACCATATAATTCATTATATTCTAATAGTTCAGTCTGTATGTAATCCATGTATTTTAATTGATGTAAAATTAAGATGGAGCCAGAGGGCTCAATAGTGAAAGGCAGGAGTGTAAGGTCTTCCTCAAAAACATTGGGTCGAGCATGGGTCGAGCCACCCTACATCACTAGGATCCAAACTTCCTCGTCTTATGAAAAAGTGAGATACTGGGTAGTAGCCAGTGAAGGAAAAGATATGGCGACGCAGCAAACTTTAAATGTTGTGACTCTTCCTTTTATTACATAAAAGTGTGAATGAGTACAATTTCATTTGAAGTGAATTTTGCCATTTTATTTTACGGACGCATTGCGTTTGTTTAAGATTGTTAATTAAAATTCATTTCATCATGTAAATACGTGGAAAGACGTTTTGACGTTAGCTCCCGCAGACACTAGTGTCAATAAATTGAGAAAAAATAATAATAAATTTGGACAAATAGAGTAACAAAGATTTTAGCTTAAAACAACTAGACTAAAAACAACCTTGTTCATCGAAATTAATAGTACTCACCACAGGAAAGTGACATCAACGACGTCCTCATCGATAGGAGCCCAAAACCACACCAGGGGCCAATTAAATAAAATATTTACAAGTGTAATTTACAAGTGTACCCATTGTTTTGGACTCTTAAAACAACAGCTACACTTGTAAACTACACTTGTAATAGTTTTATAAAATTGACCCGGAAGTGAATTGGCAAATGACACAAGGCCTAGTTTTTTTTTACACCTATTGCCGTCGAGGTTCCTGAATACAGAACGAAACACATTTCGTTTGATGGGGCTTCTTGAATGAGTTTTTCGATCTCCTGTGATCTATTCGTGAATTATAAAAAGGTTCAAAGATGCCTGTTCAAATGTAAAATATATCAACCATATCGAAACACAATTACTAGAATTTAAATAATTTAAAATAGTTACTTTTAAATATTGAATAATATTAGATAACGTAGGTTGATACTCCTCTTCAAAACAAGGCACTGTCTTTGAAAATCTTCTTCCAAATGCCCCGGTTCGAGTAGTCGCACTGTAAGTTAAAGCTAAGTAAAGATCTTGCAACCAACAAAGGAGACTTCTGTCTGATTGGTTAATCTCATCTGTGATTTAATTGGTCAATCTGCTAAGAAAGAAGGTCCTCTTTCAAGGGCCAAGGAAAAGACATCCTGTCGATTGACATAATCCTTGAAAACCCTCCCCCGCTATTTGTGACATGAAAATCAACAACTCTTGCCAGAAATTCTCGAAGGAACGATCGATCGCAGGAGAACTACAAGAAACTTTCCCATTGGCAGCCATCTTTTGTTTACACTTTCGCGCGCGGTAAGAAGACTGAACACTAAAGATTCAAAAGGACAATCAGACAATAGTCTCCTTTGTTCTTTCAACCTCAGTGGGTCCCTCAGTGGAGGAATAAAATGTTTAGACTCGTGTGAGGCTTTTTAAGATAGGCTTTACCCAGTCCCTCGCGCGCCCAATCTCTCCTACCTTTGAAAGCTTGCCTATTCTTGTACTGGATTTCATTTTTTTAAGCGTACGACAAAGTTAGATCTGGTTACGAGATTAACCACCTGCCATCCCGGCTAAAGTAGCTTTTAACCTTTGTGTTTGAGAATGGAGCCCTCGTACTAAATGTGTGGCCATTCCGATGCTAACAAGAAATAATTTAACGTGGCAATACTTCACTTTTACTTAAATAGGTTTCCTAAGATGAAATTTTATATTCTTGAATATTGATTATGAACACCGATGGAACTGCAAGAGCTTATTCTTAAGGGAAAAAATACGTAAAATTCTTATAGCATTGTTACTTGACTTCTGGTCGGCTTTATACCCTATCACTATTTTCGACGCCAGCTTGTGGGTAAGGCTGTAAATAATTGCAACTTTTCTGTGTAAATTCGAAGTAGAACAAACTGTCAGTCGGTTCTGAAAAATACGCATTGTACAGGTATCAAGCAAAAGATTAAACTGACAGAATCAAGTGGCATAAAAAAACACTGCGCTATAATTTTCCAGGGCCCAGTGGTTCAATAGATGGATAACGCTATTATTTATCCAGTGGATAACGCAATTGGGTTGTCTAATACTAAATCAACTGGATCGTGATTTATCCTATGGATAGCAGTATCCAACGTTTGATCAACCACGGGCTGGTCGCGTTTTCAACTTTTCATACATTTTTCTGTGCTTTTTCTCCGGAGAAAAAATTACCGCTAAGTGTATGGAAAAAGATGGCGTCAAAAACCGTGATGAGGTCTAACTCGTACTTATTTTTATTCCCTACTGGCTAAGATCTTTCCCTTCTCTAGCTGCTCGCAGCACTCGCTCAGCTCCGCGAGCGATTAAAGCTTGCGCCAACTGCTCTCCCAGCTTTTCCGCTGCCACAAGGGTGTCGCGGGCTTCCTCTGGGACAAATATGCTGGATTTGGTGAGCACGGCATGAGAGCAGACACCCGTCTGAACGGCAGGATCTGGGAGGGTTCCGGAGACCTTCTCCATTAAGCACTCTTTTCCGTCAAGGCTGAACACAGCACCGGTGATACTTAACTAGAAAGCAAGATTCAAATTAAGCTAAAGGCTTCAACTCCCTGTCTGCATAATAAAAAGCGACTCTTGACGTAAGAGCTTTCGTGACTTGTTCTTAAGTAGTAATCAAGTTCATCAATACGAAACTCGACTAGCCTCTCAGTATAGACCTCACTTTTGTAGAACAAATATAAAGCAATTCAGTATCTTTTACCGAGGACCTAAAATCTGGAATTCGTTGCCCGTTTCACTAATTAGCTCTCCTTCTATATTTGTTTTTTTAAAAAAATTAACGAATTATCTCACTGATAGCCGATCTGTCGCTTAATTTTCTGATCTTGCACACTCTGCACTCAGCAATGAATTTAGTTCACTAGGTAGTTGAAGGAAGCCTATTAATATAAGATTCAAGCTTCGTTAGGCTTCCTTGTCACATTAATTTTATAATTTAATTAATACCTTTTGCTCATGTTGTATAAGATTTTGTGAGTGACTAAATAAATAAATAAATAAATAAAAGAAAACTAAGATCGCTTTTTTACATCCTGGATCAAACAATCACCGGTGGGGAATGGCAAGTTGACCGTTAATTACCTGCTTGACAAGATGAACAGTAAATCAAGAACTGAAGAAGCTAGTGACGACTTCCGGGACTTCGGATTTGATAAAAAGTCCGGTTCAAACTTTCGGAAATTTCATGCAGTGAATGAAACGCTATTTTCCAGTTGAACAAACAGATCAATTGGACCGACCGACCCGGAAAGGACCGTTCCATTTCAACTAAAATTTTTGCGAAAAATAGAAAGCATCTGAAAAGTAAAGTAACACCGTAACTCTCTGGTTTTGTATTGCTATTTATGTATTGCTTTTTACGCATATAAACAAACAACAGTAAACAAAGCGTACCTGATTACCATCCAAACTTGTAGTTACTCCAATTGGAACACTGCATCCCCCTTCCTGAGCAAATAATAAGTGAAAAAGGAGATTAACAATGACTTCAATAGGGTTAACCGACAGCCGTCTAATGGCCTAAAATTTAACCATTATCCGTCGAAAAAGGTATTTTTTTTATCGTCAACAGTATAAAACGTAGATTATTATTAACCGTGAAAAAGTTTCAAGGTACTTCAAATCCCACTATTTCAGCTGATCTTATGAACTTCTGGCTCCTGAAGAATCTCTAAACTAAAAAAACAGTTCCCATGTTCTCAAAACGCCCTCTCTAGACATTACAAGACCTTACAACTTGCTTATATATGAAAATGTTTCGAAATTTTGTAAGTGAAAGGGCATGACAACCTCCAAAACACAACCGTCAATATTTCTTTACAAAGAAGATAATATTTACTTTAACTCTTGGACTAAATTTCCCTCACGCTTAATAACCGTTAACACTGGAAAAAATTAACCGTCAACCGTCAAAGCTACCATCCCATGGAGATCCTCGAACAGCAACTTATTACGGACAGTCTTGAGACCTTAGTATTTCGACAGCAAAAGCCTAGGTTACTTTTAGAAAAGTAGCTTTCTTTGGGCAAGCCCATACGCGGATCGAGACCAGTTTCTACCATTTTAGATCAAATGTTCGGCATTAAGGGGCCTTAAGCAGGCAAGTCAGCGATGCTGAATTGGTGCTCTTTCTTTTCGTCCAATGTAAGGAAATCCATTAAGTCTTGGATTCTGGATTCCACGCTTTGGATTCCGGATTCCAGTACTTGATTTCGGATTCTATGTCTCTGGAACTTGGATTCCCGATCCCAGTCATTAGAGGGATTCCGGATTCCTTGAGCTGTATTCAGGATTCCAAAGCCTTTTTCAAATCTCCTACTCCCCACCCCGCTTGCTTGCAGGCTAATTATATCATAGTTGCATATTGGTACTTAAAGGATTCAATTCTATTTTCTCACCAAAGTTCTAAGGAAGTTTCTCTCAGCTGCACAGCAAAAACTAGTTTTCTTATCAATCAGCTTAGACACTAACTCAATTGTTTGAGAATCTTCAAGGTTAACCTCTACTGCCAGAGCCCCCTGTGAATAAAAGGATATAAGGGAGTTGAGATACGGTGAAACGACCAACCAAAGCGGGAAACTTGTTTTCGAATATTAGAGAGTTTTAGATCCGAGTTTACCGCGAACCTCTAACCGCTGGAGGTCACGTGACAAGTCTTTCGCGTCACGTTTGAGGTTTACGACGTGCGTTTTCAACGTGGGGAGATAGATTTTCACATATGCCATTTACCTGAAAGATTTTAGAGTATAAATCTTGTTTTATCCCACGTAATGATACAAAAATCTTGTGGAGCAAGTCTTTATCCATTAACAAAGGCACAAATACGGGAGAAATGCTAAATTTGATAAATCCTATTGGATCTTGAAAGCAAGTGCCAGTCATGGCTGCTGGTTCAAAATGGCGGCCGTAAAATTGCAAGAAGAACTAATGTAAGAATTTACAGCTCTTTAATGCTAGATAACCCAGTGTTAACGTAAATTTCTTTTGTTTTCACTGATTGATTTTTCTTCTATTTCTAAGTGGAAAAATAAACCAGAATCCACTTCTTTAATCCACCACCAATCTAAATCGAATTATGTTTGAACGTTGAACCGCAAACGGGTAACGGCAAACCCCGGTTAGAGGTTCGCGGTAAACTCGGATCTAAAACTCTCTATTACTACAGAAGGTCTTGAACGCGATGTTGCGCGTTTTACCCTTTTACCGCCCCCGTTCGAACTTGTCTTGCAGCAAATCACGTTGTCACAAGTTGTATGAATACTGACTACTGATTGGACAAAAATTACGCGGGAGTCCCGCCATATACGGGACTTAGTCACTTGTTGCAAATGAAGTTTGCCTTGGCTGTTAAAACGCAAAAATTATACTGATTTTTTTTTTGCAAAAAACCAAAAAGTAGCACTTCTTTCTACTTTCTTCAACAACGTGTTGCGAGACTGGTTTGATTCGTAGGTTACTCGAAAGAGCGGTTTCCTTGAGTAAGTGACGCCTCTGAAAAAGCGCGGCACTTAGCAGCAAAACTATTTTTTAGCGCCAATTCCTTTGAACAACAACGCAGCGCTTCTTGTATTTTTAAGATTATTGATAGAGATCACTTCAATTACAGTTACCTTCTGGACCCGTTTTTTATCGTTTTTGTAACAAAACATAGGAAAAGAACGACAAGTATTATGTGCAAAGTGGAAGTGGAAGGGGATTCACTCCCCAACCCCAATCTCTTTTTCCTTTCTTCCCTCAGCCCTTTGACGCTTGTAAGGCAGGCTTCCTGTATGTCAAATTGCCAACTGAAATTAGCTACTAGATTACTTCGTACTAGGGAGCTTAAGCAAAGACGTTTTTGAGCGACGCACGTCAACCGGGAGTGAGGCCTTCTCCCTTTTTATGTGCCTTGACGCTAACAAATTTGTATTGCCAAGTTTCTTTTCTCGTATAAAGTTTCAACCAAACCACTGCCCAATTTGCCCAATGATGCAAAAAGTTCACTTCCGGTTGACGTCCGTCGCTCAAAAACGCTGTTGCTTAAGCTCCCTAGTATCTGGTTCCTTGGTACGTGCAAACGATCATAAAACTAGAAATAATCAAAGGTTAGAGAGTATGGACGTGTTTCAGGCTTTTGATCAAAGGTTAAAACGCTCTTACTCCAACGCTGGTGTTTTGCGTACGTTTCGTGTGATAGATGATAGAGGGACAAAACGAGTGTGATCAGATTACGAGTGGTAGAAAGTACAAACGCGTTTGAGCAGATTGCGTTTTATTCTATGCATTCCATTCATTCTTAGTGGAAAGTCCAAAAGAACGCTGGATACATACGTGCCAAGCATGCGTAATTGGAACCTAGAGATTAGGATTGCGGGCCACCAAAGGAGCCCGCAATAATATGAATTGATGAAAATCATAACAAACTAAACTCCCTGACCATTTGGAGGGACACGCGAGGAATACACAACCAGTTATCTTTCCTAGTAGAACGTTCGATCATTACCTAGAGAAGCCTGCACGGAGGGCGTTGAAAGGGCTAAGGGTTGGTAATTTTTACGTGTGTACGTGCGTAAATTTACGTTCTCAAATAAAATAGAGCCAATATATGAAAAGTCGCACGTAAGCGTAAAAGTAGAACCTCGCTCAACGTCACTTTCAATCTCAACACTTTATATCTTGCCTCTATTTTATTTACGTGATTAAAATTTACGTGTTTTAACGTGAGTAGCCAAAAACGCGTCAGTGGAAATCAACCTTAAGTGAGGAGGCTATACCTACAGTAATAAGCGCGTTTTTAGGCGTGTAAATGAACTGGTTAAATGTAACACTCACTTACCTGTCCTACTGCATACAAACATTCATCTGGTCCAAGAATCTAAATCAACGAGAAAATTAACAACGGTCAAGTAACTATCTTATTTAATCTAGTTTCAGCAGTAGCTTCAACACAGCAACCTTGTGATAGTATATTTTATCGTAAAGACTTTTGGAGCATCAGGCATGGGTGTCCTTTTTTCTTTCTTTTTTTCTGTTTCAGGCATTCAAACAGTGGTAGCCTCAGGCGAGTGAGGAATTTGGGCGCTATAAAGGGGTCAAATCGGCAGCGCTCTGCCCCGAGGAAGGAGGACGTGCGCGAACGCGAACGCGAAGGCGCATTGCAAATTTTACGTATACCTTGACTTCTACCATGCAGGCTAAGATAGTGAGGACGGTGAAAAGAGAACGGAGGAGGAATATACAACGAGGTCCCTCTCGTTCACTTTTTTTCGTGCTACTTTTCATTTTGTACCATTCCCAGGTGGAGATCCGGAGAAAAAACATAACCATCTTCCAAGAACGCAACGGTCTATCTCTTATACAGGAAGACAAGTTCATACATCGCAGGGAAATTTACGAAATTTTAACTCCAGAAAGAGTCATTTCCTTCCGCTTTAAAGTGGGAGAAAGTTTTCTGAAAAATGGTGGAAACTGGTCTGGAACACGCCTGGCTTTCCACTATTTAAAATGGCCTGGAAAAGGCTGTGGCTCTTTTTAATAGAAACTTGGAGTAAACGTTTCCTTCGTTCTTCTATTAGAGCGATTTTCGTATGACCTCGAAAAATGGTTTCGGTAAGTGTCCGCTATTTGTTTTCTCAGCAAATGGATGAAAAGATCAAAACATAGACTCTTCGTTTTCCTGCCAAAGTAAACCCTAATATGGAGAAGGCATTGTTCGATTGGCCAACCGCGTTGCAGTATGAAGTCAAAGTGAAGTATCAGTTGACTTCTAGAAAATTCTCAAGCATGAAGTTTTTTCACCTGAGCGTTCGCTTAACCAACGAAAAGCCACTCGCGTTTGTATCTGTTCGATAAACCAATCAAATCGCGCTATTTCCGTTCGTTGTTTCTGTTTTGTTCGCGCGTTTTCATTTAAGGTCAGACGAAAATCGCTCTAACTTGGGCATATTTTGGATGGTATCCAATCTAAGCTTAGGCATTCTGATGAGCTAATTCTGTCAAAATAGGCTCTTTAAAACTGGAGACCTAGCCCTCCTGCCAGTGTTCATAGAGTTGGGTAATTATTTTACCTGGTCAATCCGTTCCGCCCAACCCATGCGCTCCATCCCAGCAGCAGCCAAGATAAGAGCATCGTATTTATCACCTGCATCGAGTTTGCTTAATCTTGTATTGAGGTTACCACGCTGAATAATTCCGTCAAGGACAATTAACAGAAGAAAATAATCTTGATTTATTATAAACGAGGGCTGGGAGGTGAGTCATTAATTATTTTATCCCTGCTCTAATCTTACTGTTAAACTCTATGCACATTGTAAAAGGTCTGAACCTAGGAGTCATTTCTTCAGTGGATGGAATATTATCATCCGGGTGATCGTAGCACTGAATAGGACTGTTGTTGACAGTGACTGACGTTTCGACAACCTGTGTGGCGGTCATCTTCAGAGTCAAAGTGAATTGTAATAATTAATTGTATCACGTCAGTTAATGGTATTAAACGCTGGATAGTGACCTCACTGGTCAATAAAGTCATAATGTTATTGGATCATCAGAAAAAGCACAATTATTAATTTGGATCTCCACAAAACATGCTTCAGACATCCATCTGCCTAAAAGTTCTAATGTCATTGAGTCAGTTATACTGTTTGACATCATAATATTAAGGATACAACATCTTCAATAATTAAATGTGGAAATGCTCTCTTGAGCTGTGCACTCCGCCTTAAGGAACTTGTTCCAATAACACTGTCAATAAAAACTTTCATCGTCAATGAAAAACAAAATTAATCATTATGGTTAACCAGCTTCTTCAATGCGTCTTGGAGTTGCCTAACACAAGTTGTCTGCAACTTTTGCGGGCCAGTCTATTGTAATACTATTTTTAATAAACAAAATACAAGTTGAAATTGACTCTACTGTTTGGGATTTTAAAATGTGGCTGTTGGCTGTATTAATGGGCGACCACATTAACGAGGGTTTATTACCGGTATACGAAAATGTATGGCCGTTTCACCGGGCTGAAAAAAAGTGGCCGTAATTATAACCAGGTGACCGCAAGCACTACCGAGGTGGCCGTGAGTCGGGGTTCTACAATACTCCAAAATGTCACTAGATATAAGAGGAGTTGTGACAACAATAATGATGGTATATCCATGTAACTTGGATGGTCGTTGGGCAGTTGCCAATCAAACCACCAATAATACACTATTTCATTTTAAAATTAATTAAAATCATTATTTAAACCTTTTGCCATTCTAATGCTCTAATGTCCTTGACAATACAAATTATTCAACAGCAAAAATTTAATCAAGGTGCTTTTTATTTTTGAAACAGATAATGCTTACCTTCCTTTAGGCAATGTAGCTAGAGTTGATCCCTTGTGTTTAGGATGGAAAACAACTACATCGTGGGGATCATCTCGTCTGAGTAGTTCAAAATAAAACCAGTCCTATTTATCATAAATCCTCATTAAACTTCCCTTGGAAGAAAGGGAGCTACCGGTATTGACATTTGAGGTTGGAGGGACGGGGAGGAGGAGCCAAAGCATTAAGGGGGGCTTCCTTTTTTTAATTAGCAAAGTTGAAATACCAGTGTTAAGTTATGAAACTTTAATTGCTGTCCTTGATTAGGGTAATATTGATAATATTTTATTCATATCAAACATGGAGATTTGAGTGATATTGTACAGACTGTACCATACTTTGATCAGTGCATAGAAACCAATTATCCTTTGTGGTCAACAATAATATTAATACACATAAAGCTATTTATTACAGTCTCCTATTTATAAGTGAAGTGAAGGAGGAAGGGGGAGGGCTTTTTCCTCAGCAAGGATGAGGGGGAGGGGTGTGGCCATGGGCTTGTTAGACAGGGGTGTTGATTGAAGATAGGCTTAAAGCAGGGATGTAGGTAAGGACAAGCTAAGCAGGCTTTTTTAGTCAAGTCAGCATTTCCAACCCAGCTGTACATTCAAAATTACCCCATGTTTTTAGTTTAACAAAGCAATTTGACCAGGTGGTAAGGTCTTTTTTAGCCAGTGAAATTAGCCAGCAGCTGGCTTTTAGGGACATATCCCTGTTAGGGGGCTGAATTTACAAATGATATTTAGACAGTGAAATTTGCTTCTGTGTCAGGTAATCTGGAAATCCCTCAAAGTAAAAATCACAATTAAATCTTGCCTTACAGAAATTTTCTAGAGTTTTTTTATTGGCAACCTAAGTGTCCTACAAAATTAATGCTTACCTGAACACAGCTCCAATCAACATGCCTGGAGGCAAGGTGGAGGGAAGATCTTTTAATGAATGAACTACAAGATGGACACTAAAAACACAAAGGGTAATTAATATATAGTAACACAAGTTGGAAGAGTCTATCATTCTTTACAGCTATGGAGACTTGCTGAATGAGGATAAGGGAAATATTCTCTGCTTCCAAGGCAAAAGACTAAACTTTTTGGTGGGACAAGGTATCCATGTAATGGACTGAATAGATTACTCAACTTCCTTTTAATTGTGAAAGGTTTGAACCCAGGAGTCATTTCGAAAGTAGGTTGAGTTTGATTGTCCGGGTGAACATAGTCCTGAATAGGACTGTTGTTGTTGACAGTGACTGACGTTTCGACAACCTGTGTGGTAGTCATCTTCAGAGTCAAAGATGTTAATTGTGGTAACATTTTTGGTTTAGAAATATTGGCATGCATTTTAGGCCTGGCTTTAGTTTAAGGTAAACACTGTCTTTCGAGTTGTGCTAGTGATGTTGAAATTCTTATTTTGCCAGCTGATTCAGACATCAGAATCTACCACAATCAAGCCATGGCAATTCCTGGTACAGTCTAATAATGAAACTAACCTTTTGTTAGCCAAAGCAACTTCCAGCTCCTTTGTGAAAACACTTTTTTCTCCAATCTAGATAATTGAATTTTCTCAAAATTATTGAATAATATTACACCCTTGGTATAATGGAAACAAAATTCCTGTAAGTAAAAGCTCTCAATTTCATTCTACTCAAGTGAATGAGATGATCCCCTTTACTTGATCCCTATACATCAGCAATGCATGTAGTGGACATTGATTAAGACGAAGACAAAATAGCCACAGCAATGTGCTTAAAAACATAGCACAAATATAGACAAAGAACACTCATCAAATGACAACTTCTGGAATAATGAGGAAAATAATATCCCTTAAATTTGTATCCTGAAACTACGAAGGAACAGCAAATGTTTGAAGAGGGGAACTTAAAGCACAGGTTAACAAGCATGTTTTAAGGAAGGAAATATTTTGAATGCACAAAAACCAATATTGGCAAGTAGCCTTGTATAATATATTAAGATTTATGCAAAAATTACACAGATCTCGTTCTCCATAACTCATCCTATAATTATTACTAAATAATCTTCAACATTAATATACAGTACATGCAGGGTACTCACTTTGGGGAGTGGTTTATTCAGAATATTATCTCCTACAGTTGACATAGAAACTGAAATAAAAAAACAAACCATCATAAACTCAGATCCTTATATAAAAACAATTGGTGTATTCTAAAGATATTAACTATTAACCCACAGTCAAACCTCATCTCCTTATGGACACGTCTCACGATCAAGGACAGTTTTGTTGGTCCCAAAGATACATGTCAAACAGTGCCTCTATAATACAGACACCTCTATAAGGTGGAAACTTCAATACTTCGTGATTGGAACCTTATGTAACCACTATGACACAAAGGCAATGAGAACTAGTTCAAAAAACAACAGTTTTATTACGAAAATCAGTAATGCACCTGCATCACGCTTTTAAGCCTCTGTATGAGTATTTCCAGTGAAATCGAAGTGGCGACGATGCAGCGACGACCTTAGAGAATAAAGCAACGATTGCACTGCCATCCCAAACAAGTTTGACCATGTTAGAAATGGAATGATGGCAAAGAAATCTGCCAAAAACCTGTTTGCATTTTGATTTTCTTGTTCCTGTCATCATTGTGGTGCACTAAGCTCACTGCACTAGAAGCATTACCATACAAAACAGTTCTTGATATGAAAAGATTTTACATGAAAAACCAACTACTTGAGGGAAAACGAGAGGCAAAATCGACGTTCCAGGTACACGTACAGTTGTACCCATATATATAGGCTCAATTTCTGACACATTTCAGCCAGATGTCTACAACATCAAATATCCTAATATTGATGTTTTATGGGGCACAAGAAATCACAATTTTTTTTTCTTTTTCTGAACTTGAATACAGTCCTTAAAAGAATACAAATCCAGAATGATTTGCTCAAATCACTTCACAAATTTAATTGAACAAGAAGGAGTAATAGCAGTGAAGTTTGAAAAATTTGTGACAGATAACATCAAGTAACTAACAACTTAATTACAAACCAATTTCAAAAGATCTGCCGGGGTAGAACTTCTTTAATTCATCCACTATGACATTTGTTTGAATAAGAGCCAGCTGTATGGAACAAAAATAGATAAAATGTATGTTTATAGGTAAATTTCGAGACTTAAATAAGGAAATGAAAACTGAGCACAACTAGGAATTCAACTCCAGTTGGATTTGCCTACATTTGACAAAGTAAGTGGGTAAGAATATTTGCGATTATAAAGACAAAAAGAGCGTAAATTCACAATGATTTGCTTGAGTGATTTTCTTGAGTGACCACCAAACAATAGCTTCCCAATACAATTCCTAATGCCCAAAGCAACCTTTATTGCATCAGCTAAATAAAGAACATTTCAACAATTGGTTACACTGTGGCATATGTAAGACCACTGGATTGCCATTTCGAGATATAGCGAAATGTCAAAGGAGGGTATTTCCTGCATTCTCCTAATCTCATACCTGTGAACAGATGCCACAGAGATCTTGGTATGAGATAAGAAATCTAAGCCCGTGAAAAATATAATTTGGCTGATAACGAAGCCTGAGGACTGAAGGCGTGAAAATGACAACCTGTTGCACTCATTGGACAGTGCGAGTCAAAATTTATCATGGACATGTATAAGCCTCACTGATTTATCCAAAAATAACAAAATAATCGGAGTGGATTGACCTTAAAATAAATTGTGAAGAGGGCGTCGGAATCATCACGGTCAAGGAAGCCCTCCACATGGTGACCAATAATGATATGAAATGACAAAGCAATTCTTCCCCTGCACTGTATCGGAATCTGAAATCTAAAAGGTTATGCCTTCCATAGACGGAGTCCAAAAAGGGGTCTGACAAAATCGTGCCTTCCATGAGTGTTGAAAATTAAAATAGAATGTCAAGTTTGGCCATTTAAGCACTTACCTGACTTTTTCGTGAGCCAACTTTTACAACGAGCTTTGTGTCCGCCATCTTGACCGAGAATGTCCACGTGGGGGATTGGTGTCTACTTCGCCTCCACTTCAAAACGAGTCCACAGACCACGAAGTCGGCCATTTTGAATATTGGGATTCAGAGTGATACACGATGGCAGCAATTTTCCGATGTTCACAACTGCTTTCTCGGACAACTGGCTCTTTCCAGACCAGCTTTAGACGAAATATTGGAGTGACAGCTGTAGTAATGGCAAAGGCGGCGAAGAATGCTGATCCTATACAGAATTTGTTCGTGGAAAAGTTGCAGGAGTACAAGAAGAAGAGCACATCTGCCGGTGATAGTTTAGTGGACATGACAGCTGAGATGAAAGCTAAAATGGAAGTGGAAAAGCAGCAAATACGAAAGAGATTCGGTGAAGGAAACTTGGAGGAGTTTCCCAAGTTTGACTTTGGCAAGTGAAGACGGATCACTAGATCAATCGCCCGGGCAAGACTGATGAAACACATCTGTAGACTTTACCTGAGGAATAATGTGTTGGGCGTGAGAAATCGCAGGAACTCTTGACGACACTTTCAGTCGTGACTTTTTGGGTCTTTGTTGTTCAAGAAAGAGAGTAGATAATGTTAAATTTCTGTATTGTGTTGTCTTTTCACATCTGTGGCTTTTTCTTGGAATAAATCTTATTTTTAATCACAGCCCTGGTAGATACCGTTTTTATAAGAAGCAGACATGTGTCCGATTTGTCTTCCTTCTTATTTGACTGCTGTTAAACAAACCCCAATGAAACTGCTTCTGCCAGTTAAAGCCTGACTGGTTTTGTATTTTTCTCTTGCCTAGCATCAACTACTTAGGGTGAGGAGGAGGGGAGGGTCAATGTTATTCCCAGTTCAAATTTTCTTTTCCTTTGCTTTTACTTATTTCATCATCAAAACAAAGCAAATGAAAACAAAATCTGAATCAGGGTTAAAACAGTAAGTTACCACCTTCTTGAGAGACGAGACTCTTGTCTCTCGAAACAAACTGTGAGTATCAAAGCCTCTGGAATGTCTACGGGCCAAGTAACAATGAAAATAATTCTGTGCTCTGCTGTTCCTATCATGACGCACTAGACCTCATGAAGTGAACCATGATGAAAGATGCAGTTATCATGTACAGTTTTGTATGAAGCTATTCACGACAAAAGCGGCATTAAAACTTTTCAAAGTCAGTTTCTTTGTTTGATAAAAACTGATCAAGCTGAATTTCTATCACAGCTTATAACATAGTAACAATTGAACCACATTAAAGAGTAAACAATGAGAAATTGACCAAGTCAGATGACTGTGCGAATGACCATAAAATTAATGTTTTAGCCTGAGAAAACTGCCAACATTTGGCGACACTACCACTGATTTCCTGCAAAAGGACATCTCAAAAACGAACGCAGAAATTCCACACTAATGACACGTCACTACCCAGATCTGGGAAATTTGATTCAACCAATCACAAGCAATACCTAGATCTGGGTAGTGACTCGTCATCAGTATGGAATTCTTGCGCTCATTTCTCAGACATCATTTGGCAGGGACACCAGTGGTAGAGTCACCAAATGTTGGCTGTTTTCTCAGGCTACAAATATTTCAGCATGTAAATTAAAGCCCCACCCTTTAAAAAAACCTCAATTTTTGTAACTTACTCCTGAATCATTCCATGGTTCCTCAAATGGAGCGGGGAGGTATGGAAGTTAAAGGCAATAACCCAATATGGATGCTTCAGTTGTCTGTGATACTGTTGATGTCTTTGATACTGATCATTAAATTTTAAGCTGTCCCCAGGGTTCCTACCATCTGATTGGTGCCAGAAAAACACAAGTTTTCTGGCACCAATCAGAAGCCAGAACAGTGGCAACCGTTTGGAACTGGTCTGGTAAGACATTGTCCCCAGGGGCTCTTCTTGCCGTCCTTTACTTTTCTTCGTGCCTTATTTTTTCGCCGGTTTAGACTTTCCCTCGCCCCCACTATCTGCCCCTGGGTCTCCGAGGATGGGTTCCTACCTTTTTTGACCAAGAATAAAAGCACTATTTAATTAAGTGCTCCATGCAAAATCAAGGCAATAATTTTTAATAACGTTTTTTTTTTTAATTCTCTTTTACCATTTGTGTTGCTGCTATTTTGCCAGTAACATTAATTTATTGCACTGTATTCTAAAGCCACTTGAGAATCTGGGTTGTGTGAAGTAACAGCTCTGTGATAGGAACAGAGGAGCTATGGAGCTGGGTGCACTATAACCCCAACAAAAATTTCGCCGGGAATGTTTTTTTTTTTCTGCATTTACAAAAGTACCCCAGTATTTCTAATCTTTGTGTTAAAAGCAAACACAATACTATTTGTCTTTTCTTTTCTTTGTTGCACTGTAAATTAATGTTCACGTTATTTTGCAGGAAACTAAAAGAAAACAATGGTACCGAAATAAAAATTTGACAAAATTTTCTCAGGATGAATAATATTGATAGAACTAAACGTGTTTCCAGTGATTTCAGGAGATTAAAACTTTCCAGTGGAACATGCCTGCACCCCCTTAAATATGCTAAGCACCATCAGAGTTGAAATTGAGCTAGTACTACATATGCTCCAGGCTTCCTAATTAAGCCTCAAATTTCTTGGACTTACTAGAAGCAACTAAAAACCTTCCAGACACTTTTTAGGTCGTGAATTTTTATTTCAAAGTTTAATCAAGGACATTCAAGGACTTTCTAGGCACCTGTGAACCCTGTGTACATGTTAGTTCTAACCTCCATCCTTCCAATAGAATTTCAGTACTGCAATCTATAGCTTAAGTCAATACAATTCTGACTCGAATATTAATGGTTATCCTACTGTCAGGCCATTACATTTTTGCATCAGTTTGTAAAACCAACTGTTCCATTTGAATTACTGGTTCATTGTCCCTGAAAAGCCCCATAAGGGGGGAAGATAATTAAGTATTTATTGTCACCTATGTGAGGTTGTTGTTCACAGAAAGGGATGGCAAAAAAGACGACTTTAATAAAATGAATGATACAAGTGTTAAAAGTCATTTCTTAGAGCTGGAATAGACCTCATTACATGTAGCTTGTATGTGTTTTTTCTCATCTCAGTGGAGGTCTCAGAGAAAATTGCTCCTTTGTCTTTTCATAAAACTGATTATGTTTATACATGCAAAGGGGATACAATGAATTATTTGAATGAAGCAGTTCCCTAGAATACTATCACATGACCTACATTGGGAAACCAAAGCATACATGCTAAAGAGGTCTATTGAAAAAAGTCAAGCTTTTTCTCCCACTGCTTTATCATAATGGTTTGACACATATTTTTTTTGAAAGACATCAAGCAAGGGTCAATAAATAAAGAGAAGGAGCAGCATTTATGTTCTGTTTTGTTTGCCATTAGTTAGTGTCAGGTACAACTGAAGAGCTACAATTCCAATGCAGGATGTGAAGGTTGCCTTTAACAACAGCAAGCTCCAGGAGTGAATTCCAAAGACATGGCTTAAGACTCTACAAAACAAAATTAAATTAACACTTGAGCCACTGAAATAACATTCACGATTTTCAAAATAATTACAACTTTGAATCTGTCTTGGGCTAACATACAGTCATGGATCTCTCTCTCTTCCTCTTGCCAAAGATCCTTTCATACTTCTTTGATTTTTCGCAGGGACCAGTTATAACAATGCTGAATAGAGCACCTTAAATTAATTCACTAAGATTCCAAGTTTAAAACTTATATGTCACAATAAAAATTAAACAAAGACAAACACTGTTAGCAAAATGCAATAAGATAATTATGTTGGGGCCACAAACTTTCCTCCCGTTTTACAAAATTCTGTAAAAATTCAGAGCCATGCCTTTGTTCATTAATTTATTGAGATCACTCTCAAACTTAGTACCTTAGCTGAAAATATGTACAATATTTTTGCACAACTCGAGATTTCATGCATTTACTCCCTTTGGTGGAAGTTATCCACTCCAATGTGAAGTGGAAACCTCATCAGCAGTCCCTTCACAAGTTTCTACCTGTTTTAAAGTTACATGTATTTTGTAAAAAATGAATAATTTTTTAGCATTATTTTTATCACTAACTGAATACTGACAGCACTTACTCAATAAGAAGGGGCCTGTAACATGCTAATGTCATGAAAACCATTACTAGTGGAAGAAAGGACTTTTGAAGATCAGTCCTGCTCCAGAGCCAAACTAAAGCTGCTGTTGAGATGTGCTGTACCTATGTAAAAATTCACAGAGCCATTAATTTTACTCTATAGCAGAACAGGGTGACCATTAATTATTACAGATAGTATTGCATTAAATGAATTTTGAAGAGATTTTGGTATAGTGCAAAAAAATTATTAGTACAGTCTGAATTACATGTATCTGATATTTCCATGAGGTGACATACAGTGTAACGCTGCAAAAGAGGTAAAATCTGCAAATAACCGGAATGTGAGTTCTCTAGATTTGGATGAGGACACTGTTACAGTGTAGTTAGATTGGTTTTTTGCTACAACATTACAATAAATTTTTTCAGAGGCTCCACATCAATTGATGTTTCCAAGAACAAAAATATAAAAATCTTTCATTAATTTGTTATTTTTTCCACATTATGCTAAGGATTGTAAAAAATCACAGTGATTAATAAAAGATTTGTTATGGATTTTGTTCATTTGTGTAGAGCACTTTTTAATCTCAGCTTTCTGGTGGTATTTGAAGGTAGAAGAGATCTGGATATTTGTGGCCATTTGGCTCTCGAACTCTCTTTCCTTTAAAGTAAGGGCCATATTTCAGCCAGGAAAGTTGATACCCACTCAGTCAATGCATGCCCAGCTTCCTAGAACAGTACACTGTGCACTAGTTATCATTGATGACTGATACTGAAGAAATGTATTCTTCTTAACTAAAAATATTAGTTAATGCAAGTTATTAGAACAAAGCACGCTGTAGACTACGTTATTATTTATTTTAATTATTGAAAAATAATAGAAAAATAATTAGAAGTTGTGGTTGAATTTGGTTTAAATAATTTCTTTCCTTTTGTTTTTAACTTGTTATTATACATTAAATACCCCAAAACAAAGAAAAATAAAATTTAAACCACAGATAAAATTATTGATCCCCAACATAGACATCAGATAACAGGCCAAAATAAAACTTGGAAAGCCTGAAAAAATTTTTATCCTGGGCTGATGCAAATTGATTACTTACAAGACTAACATTTGCATCAAAACTCATTTGTATGTACTTCCAGTCAAACTCTACTCCTCTGGCACCAACCCACAGGGGAACAAGGCGTGTCATGACCACCTCTGCTGTGGCCCAACCTAAACAGGATTAGAATAAAAATAAACCAGACTTTACCTCACCTCTAGTAAATAAAAAGAAAATGTCTTATGTACCAAATGAACTGTGAGGACCATTCACCAAAAGTCAGCTGGACTATTCATTTTGAAAACCAAAATAATAGGCTTTTTTTAACGAGTTTTGCCAGGCTAAAATCCAACCATGATTGCTATACTTAATTTAGGAATAGACTGATCTGCCTAGATCACGGCCGCACTCTAACAGTGCCCAGTGACCAACGGCAAATTACCTTTGCTCTTGGGTAACAAGGAAATCTTAGTTTTTGTTGTTTTTGTTGTTGTCGTTGTTTTTCTTAGACATTTTCTGCTGAGCACTATGGATTTCACACTTTCAGAGCACTGGGCATCCTTAAATTATTCTAGAAGAATAGCTTTAGTCTGGATAGTCCTGACTAATGATGAAATTCTTTTCACAACTGGACTGGTCAAGCCTGCCAGTTTTGCCTGAAAATATATAAGCACCCAATTTTTGATGAAAATATGAAACATGTAAATATGTAGCCTGAATTTTATCCGATTACTTCGAGTCATTATTACTCCCTCAGTAACATCTGAATCGACTGGCTGTTTATTGCCATCCAGTGACGTAACTACTCCTTTGCTTTAATTTATGCAAAAAGTTAAGCATGATTTTCAAGTGTCAAACCAAGAAATATTGTTTGGAAATGTCTGCATGATACAGAATGGCTTTACTTTTTTGGATCGTAATGTATGTTGAACATTCAAACTATCAACTGCATGCAGTACTCTGAACCGCTTGTAATATAATAATGAAGGGCGGACATGTTTTTTCCATCTGCAATTTTTTGCTCTTTTTACTACCCCTTTGGTGTCTTTATCCTGATCGAGAATATCTAAAGCAACTTGTCACAGCTCGGTGCCTCTGCAGGAGTTATTTCGAGTTTATTTCGACTCTTATTGAGTCAGTTTTACCTTGCTCTACATTGCCGACTCTGACAAATCTACGTTGCTTGGCCCAGCCTGTGAACAATGCTTACGGAATTGCTGTTGATTACCCATTGTCTTGTTGGTGTTGGAACAACACCATCGCACCTTCTCATCATAACAATGCTTGTTTGGTGTATATACCGGCTAATTATTCTATATTCTTCAGACGGCCTAGGATCAGGCGTTACAGGTGTCCTTGTGCATATTATTCCAACACATCGGCATCGTTCCATCCATTGCTTATTGGTGATTTGGTATTTAAATTGAATCCTGGACCCAAAGGAATCCCGGTGATTGTTTCAACTCGCAGAAGTCATAACCATGAAACTCAACTGTCATCTTTGTCACGGAATATTAGCAATTTAATTAGTGTTCGTCGTTATTCTGCCTTGGCACCGATTGTTGCAGACAAACACTTGTCGCTGTGCTTGCTAAATGCTCGTTCTGTGAAAAATAAGACTGCTGACCTTTTTTATTATATATGCGACTGCAAGGCTGACCTTGTTGCGATCACTGAGACTTGGCTGACTACTGACGACGCTGCTGTGCGAGCTGAATTGTGCCCGGTCGGATACAAAATTTCTGATCGCCCACGTACTGGTCGTGGTGGTGGTGGAGTGGCCTTGATATACCGTGATTCGCTATCTGTCAGAAGGATTGATGCTGGCGAGAAAGAATCCTTTGAATACTCTGAATGGACAATCTCATCACCTTCGCTCAATCTTCGGCTTGTCCTTCTTTATTGTCCACCTTATTCAGCTGATCTCAGAGTCTCAACTAATGATTTCTTCATGGAGTTCTCTGCCTACCTAGAATCTATACTTCTCTCCAAAGGGCATCTTGTGATTGCTGGTGACTTTAATATCCACGTCGACGTCCCCCATGATCCTGACTCAGTCAAACTACTAGATCTTTTACAGTCTGTTGGCCTCCAGCAACACATCACTTAGCCTACGCAAATTCAGGGTCACACACTTGATCTCGTTATCACCCGTTCTAGCGATGACATCTTAAATAAGGTCCCTGTAGTTGATCGCTTTATCTCTGACCACGCATCTGTTTATTGTACACTTCAGCCCGACAGACCTTGCATGACTACTAAGAACGTCGTCTACAGAAAGCTGAAATCTGTGGATCTTGAATCTCTTAAGCGGGACTTATCTGACTCCTTGTTATGCAGTGATCCACCGGATCTGCAAGCGCATCTTCACTCAGAAGATCCACGTGACCTGGATGCTCTTGTACGCAGATACAACACTACACTTTCCAAAGTCATTGATTGTCACGCCCCACTTAAGACTAAGACTGTGAAAGCTAGACCTGCAGTGCCTTGGTACAACGACGAGATAAAGGCCGCTAAACGCTTGAGATGTAAGGCTGAGAGAACCTGGAGGAGAACGAGATCTGTGTCTGACTTGAATATTTTCAAGTCTTACAGAAACCGCGTGACGTACCTCATGAACCAGGCCAGGCAGGCATTTTACACTAACTTTATTGATGAGAATAGCACAGACCATAAAAGATTATTCAGAGCTACCAAACAACTCCTTGCTAAGAAAGAGGAGTTTTCATTTCCTAATTATCAGGACAAATCAAAACTAGCCAATGACATCGGCGGTTTTTTCGTTCGAAAGATAGATACAATTCGTTCTGATATTGATGCCGTAGACATCGAACCAAGCGCGCGCAATGCGCTACCTCCTGATCAGGAAGTAGATGATACGCATGCTTTTCATTCCTTTCAACCACTCTCGGAAAACGACGTCTCTGCGCTCATTCGTAAGTCTGCTAAGAAGTCCTGCCCGTTGGACCCGATGCCAACATCTCTGGTTGTTGGCTGCCTTGACCTGCTGTTGCCTGTTATTTCACAAATTATAAATCTTTCGCTATCATGCGGCCATTTCTCTGAGGAATGGAAAGAAGCTCTGGTTACTCCAATCCTTAACAAACCTGGCTCAGACCCCACGCAGTTGAATAACCTTTGCCCTGTCAGTAACTTGGACTTTATATCAAAATTGACAGAGCGCGCTGTTTTCGACCAAATTCACAGTCATATGAGTCGATTCGCCCTTTATCCAACCTCGCAATCTGCTTACCGAAAGGGTCACAGCACAGAAACAGTGCTACTGAAGGTACAAAATGACATTCTCATGAATATGAATTGCAAGCATGTAACTCTTCTAGTTCTTCTAGATTTGAGCACAGCGTTTGACACTGTTGACCACAATATCCTGCTTGCTCGTCTTAAGTCAAATATTGGCATTAATGGCACCGCCCTTAATTGGTTTACGTCTTATCTTAACAACAGGTCGCAACGAGTCTTGCTAAATGGCTTTACATCTGACAGTTCTAAGCTTCCTTATGGCGTTCCACAAGGATCGTGTCTGGGGCCATTGTCTTTTACCATTTATTCCAGCAAACTGTTTGAAGTCATCAAATGCCATCTACCTGAAGCACATGCCTATGCTGATGACACTCAGCTTTACCTGTCATTTAGTCCTGACACGGCTACTAATCAGACTGATGCGGTCATTGCCATGGAACGCTGTATATCGGACATTCGTACGTGGATGCTTACGGATAAGCTCAAACTTAATGATGACAAAACTGAGTTCATGTTGATTGGTACAAAACAACAACTTACCAAAGTAAATATTGACTTCCTTACTGTAGGAAGCATTGACGTTGTTCCTGTCACTGTGGCAAGAAATTTAGGGACATGGTTCGATTCTAACTTGAATCTCCAGGAACAGATCCAAAAAACTTGTAAATCTGGGTTTTTCCATTTATACAATATTCGGCGTATCCGAAAATATCTGTCCCAGGAGTCTGCATGAACTTTGGTCCATGCTTTTATCATTGGTCGTATAGATTACAGCAACAGCCTTCTATTTGGTTTACCCTCTACTCATCTACTTAAATTGCAACGCTTGCAGAATGCAGCTGCTCGACTTATGTCTAATGTCCCTCGCTACAGTCACATAACACCAGTACTATGTGCGTTACATTGGCTTCCTGTCAAATTTCGTATTGATTTTAAAATACTTCTTTTTACTTTTAAAGCTATCTACGGTCATGCACCTGGTTACTCGATCGATTTGATTGCTATCAAAGAACAGCCGCACTATAATCTCCGTTCAGCTAGCGGTCTTATCTTAAAGTATCCTAGTTTAAAACTGAAAAAGACTTCAGGGGATCGTGCTTTTTCATCTGCTGCCCCTAATTTATGGAACAATCTGCCCCTTCACATCCATCTTGAGGACAATTTTGAACGTTTTAAATCTTTACTAAAAACGCATCTTTTTAGACTAGCTTTTGATATGTAATTTTTTTTACCTACTATGTAACATATTTAGTGTCTTTTTTTTATCTTTATTTAATTTTTAGCATTGTTTATTCTTGGCCTTAATTATTTTGCTCATTATAGTTTACACATTTACGAGTTGTCACGCGCTTTTGATCATATTTGCATGGAAAAGGCGCGTTATAAATTTTTAATTATTATTATTATTATTAATTCCATAATCAAACTCGGTTGCAATCACACAATGAAATAAGTACACACACGGAACACTTAGGTTAAAAACACAATGATTTGCTTTAATTGAAAAGAACAGCGTGCAAAGAAAGTAGTGTCCGATAGCCCGGGGCTAGTGGATTTTGTTATCCGGCTAGTGAATTCTGTTTTTAACTTGCCCTACGGGCAAGTGATATTTTTTTGGGAATTTGAATAACAGAAGAACTGTAATCAATCCTGCTCATCAAATTTTTTTCGGGCTAGTTGAAATGACTTTCGTGCTAGTACATGTTAGCTACAGCTTGCCCGAATGGGAAGCTGTGAAACTGACTTTCTTTGCACCCTGAAAGAAGCTATCTGGTCCTTACTAGTAACGAAGAAAAAACAAGGGAACAAGAAAGAAGAGCTAACAGAATCAATACAGTTGACGGTGAAAATAGCTCTAGGAGGTCGAATTACAACATTGGTCTCAGAAACTTTGCATAAACAAAATCACTGCCAAAACCACAAAGCGCCTCTAAATGAAAAACCTACCGACTCTCCGTAATGATTCTTCATTCGCAGTTCAATTTAGCATTTCAGTTCGGAAGACAAGGGCAATTTTGTTGTTCAAGATAAAGATTATCAAAATGTTTGAACTCCACGAAAGCATACAAGGGACATGATCTCCTGAATATCAAGCGACAATCCCACTAAAATTTCTCATAATTATGCGAATGTTTAGACAATCAACCAATCAAAATCACTACCCAGTTTTCGGGTAGTGATGATGTCACTGGATGGCATTAATGGCCGGTCGATTCAGACCAAGTGTGAGATCAAGATGCCTGGATATTGGCCAAGTTCTTTTTTTGTGATTGTATCGCAAAAAAGAACGAGGATATTTATTATTCAGCCATCATGACCGAACTCGCTTGGTCAATAAAGGATTTATTGTAAGGCCAAAATGACAACTTTTTCCTTGTGGGACCAATGGAAATCATGAAAGGGCAAGAAAGGCCCCATCTCGCTCACTCTGGTAGCCAATCAGAATGCAGGATTCCACTCATCTTTCCCACTCATGATTCAGACACATAATAATTAGGAATAAAAGCTTTAAAGTAGGCATGGAAGGGACTTGCGACTTGCGTCTTGCGAGCGCTGAAAGCGCAATTTACTAGGGGGGGGGGGTCCTGGAGCATGCCCTTCGGAAAAAATTTGAGATCTGGGCCTCTTACAGTGCATTTCCAGCATTATCGAGCAAAAATTAGAGTGTTTGAACAGAACATAGACATCATTGAATTTTGAATTTTGAATTTTGGCTTTTGGGGGGGCGGGGGGGGGGGGGAATTTTTAAGAGAAAAGTGGGTAGCTGGGGAATTTTGCGGGCCGTTGGCTTTTTTTTAAAACCCTGATAATACCTACTCCTCCCCCTAACACTTTAATTTCACCCTTCCCAACATTTTGGTCCACCCCACGATAAGGAAAAACAAGATCAGCCATGTTCCTGTTGGTTCGAAGCAGTAGGTGACGTAGAGGCTGTTGGTCAGGCTGGGAGTGACCGATGTGCGGGGGGGGGCGGTGTCATGGTACAGCCCTATGGCAAAAACTTTGCGGGTGCGCCATTTTACAATGCCAGTCCTCTTTAACGAGAAGAAATGGCAATGTGTGGAACGTAACATAAGGGTGATTGTAGTGTTGTGTTGGGTTTGTGGTTTTGGGGGGGGGGGGGGGGGGGGGGGAATTTTCAAAGAAAAGTAGGTAGCTAGTGAATTTTGCCGGCCGTTGGCTCTTATTGAGAACCCTGATCATACCTACTCCTGCCACTAACACTTTCAGTTCACCCTTGCCAGCAATTCTGGTCATCACCAGATGAAGACCAACAAGATCTGCTATGTCTACTGTGGATCGAAGAAATTCCTAAAATGATAAATAAGAAAAACTACTAGTGAGTTTGATAACTTTTTTACAGCAATGCTAAGCAAAATTTTAATGTAGGGAAATAAATTTAATGATAGCAGATGTGAGGGGTTACACTATAACCATTTTAGGCCAACCGCAGGCTGTAAAAAATGGTTCTAAATAGATACAACAACAAGGTACAGTCAAACCTCGTTAATACGGACACTGAGGGGGCCATAGAAAGTGTTCGTATTCATGGGGCGTCTGTATTAAGCAGGTTGAATTTAGAGAAAAAATGTAAAGGCATTCTTTCCCAAGGGACAAAGCAAACTGTCCGTAAACATGAGGTGTCCGTATTAAGCTGGTGTCCCCAAAGCTGGGTTGGACTGTAGTCATAATGCCGTTGTTTTAATCAATTAAAATCAAATTGTATGCAATGGCTTTAGATACAAAAAGGGAAACAACATACCCCCATGAAGTCCATGTATCCTGGAGATACATCTGATGTGGGAAAAAATGTTGCAAGAACCAACATCTGAAAAAAGAACATAATTTAAAGCTGTCACACACCTCTTGTTAATACAAAATACATTGTAATAACTAAAGAATACCTTGCCAGTTTCAATACAGTCAACTAGCTCAATAAGACAGACACCTTCAGGACCGGCCCCTACTGTTTGTCTTAAAGAGGTTTCTGTCTTATGGAGATTCGAGGTAACATAAAAAAAAATACGCGCTGGGCATCCTGGATTTCATGCTAGGCTCTCTTCAATTTTATTTAGCTGCCTGTGAAGTACATGGATATATTGTAGTTCAATTTTATTCTTGGTTTAAATTTTATTTCCCTTTGTTTTTGAGGTATGGTAATGACATATGATAATGAGTTTAACAAGAAGAGGAAATAAACAATGGATAAAAATAAACCACAACAGGGACATAGTCACACTGAACGTTTTGAAAAGGAGCAGCTAGGAAACATACATGACATTGGTAATATTCTGGACAAATCACCTAAAAACGATCATTTTTCACTTAACATCGCTATTTCAGAAATGTGCCAAGATTTGGCTGCAAAAGTCAGGAAAATTAATGATAAATTATTTTACAGACATTACTTTGTATGGTGGGGGCACAAACTTGCAAGTTTCGCTACACTTGTTTCTAATCAATATGAGAAGTTGAAAAAAAAAATCCTGGGAGGGTCCATTGCTGTTTCACTGCACTCCTTTTTGAAAAATAGAAAATACTGTAAATTGTTTTCACAGTTAAATTTGCCATAAAATTATTAAATGTTGTCTTCTGTAGTTTCAGCCAAGTTTATAGAGTCAAATTAAGGTGGCTCGACTCAGTATTTTTGTAACAACCAGTCTGCAGAGTATGGCAGGTGCACACGCGAGTTTTTTAAAAATATATAAGCAATAAGGGCCTAAAAACGGCCTTGCACGCGCGAGATCACGTCGAGTTCTGCCATACTCTGCAGATGGGTGAAGCGACACCTTCCATCTTTGAATCTCTTATACTTACGTGATATTTATTCCGATCGCCCAAAAAATAATATATCACAATAAAGTTTAATCTATGTGCAATACATGTGTTGTAATGGCTTTTACAGTAAAGAACAATTTATTTAAGTATAAGAGATTCAAAGATGGAAGGTGTCGCTACAAAAATACTGGGTCGAGCCACCTTAAAATGAAGTGTGAAATAGTCTGGCCTTTCTTTTTACCTTACAAAGTTGAGTAACCAAGTAAGCGGCTCCTGCCTTCACACATCTCCAAAAGGCACTGTACTCAGAGCTACGATCCAGAAAAAGAAAGACAAAATTCATTGCTTCATCAAACATCGATTGAGGAACACGCGACTCTCACGCAACCGCCCATTCTTCTTGAACATAATATCATACTGAAATTCCTGCAAACTTACAGTCCAGAACATTTGTAAACAATGAAGTAAGGAAAGTATGCTAAGGCTACGCAGTTTCCAAAATGGAATAAAGTCATTTCGTAGAAATAAAGTCTTGAAAGAAAGATATTCTTTTTGAAGAACAAGATGGCTTCGGAAGGACTACTTTGTAACCTGGCATACTAGGTAGCCACGCAAGAAATCTAAATAGGATCGCAGGCTCACAAAAATGCGGCGCTACTTTTGAATTCAAACTGGCGGGCTTTGAATGTCGATCGTTGTTTTGATAAAAAAAGCTCTAAAAATTATCGAAGCATCACATATTTCTTCCGTTTTGGTTGAAGCAAAATGCCTAGAAGAAAAAAGACCAGGAAGAATGCGAATCGGATGCGACCGATGCTGCCTGAAGGCGAACTAGATACGTCAATGAACACTGATGAGCGCCGAGCAAAACTGGACGTTTACTTGAAAGATTTAAACACACAAGGTTCGTTTTTGATCCAAAAGTTTTATAAAATACGTTAAGAGAAAGTATGTTACATTTTCGTCTCTCTTTCCGTTCACAGTGGAAGAGAGAATAAAAAAGATGAAAGCTAGAGGTTATGATATGATCTGCAAAGTGAAGGGGGCCTTTTCTCTGGAGATCCTTAAACTTCCTATGGTAAGTTATAAGCTTATGATAGAAAGTATTAATTTAATAAATTTAGATAGGTAAACAAGATCTAGACCACTTTTAAAGCAATGTATCCACGCATAACATCATTTCGAGATCATGCGTCCCTGGCAAAAATAAATTACAGACTTGTGATGGAAATAAACTCCTGTTATCACATGCGTTCTTAGGTCTTTGTCATGCATTCCTCACCGAGAAATGTTTGGGTGAGAGACTGGGTGTCTCGTGGATGTCCATATTTTTTGGGAAAAAAAGGTTTTTTCCCCATCCTGGTTTCAGAACTGTTGGCTTGAAGTTTGAGTTGAACGCCCACCTCTGTAATACTCTGACAGTAAAAACCTGATTATTAGTGTTACCAGAAAACTTCAGTCTCAGTTCATGAAAGATTGCTCTTAGTGACAATCTCAGTTAGTTTTATGTAATAGTAATTTTCATTATAATTAATGCTTCATATGGCATTGGCTGGTAAAAATGGGTACTCTTGAGAGGAACACACTGTAATCGTGCTAGTTTTATTTTTGATACCTACTTTCTGGTTCATGCTAACAGGACATAAGAAAGATGAAATTGAGCGATTATTTAGGTATGTACAGTCATTTCTATTTAACTAAGGTCAGTTCATGTTTTGTTAGATTATAATTTTTGCATGCATTGTTTCATGGTTCAGTTTTTGAAACTAAGGGTGCGTTCCATTGATATGATCCGGATTACGATCAGTGATCCAAGATCATTTGGATCATGGTAGATCAAACCTTGTCCTTAGTGGATTCATCGGTTCATTTGATCTACCATGATCCGAGTGATCTCGGATCACTGATCCTGATCCGGATCATCCCAAAGGAACACAACCTAAAAAAAGTCCTGATTGTTGCCCACTTGATCATGAATGAAATTCATCATGAGCAAAACTATCATGTATTAGATTTTCAATATTTCAAAGAAATATGAGATTTATCTTGAATCTCACTTTGCAAAAGATTTCTTGATTGTGTCCATTTGTTTCAGCTGAGGGTGGTAAAGTGAATGATAATGCCTTTACAGAGGTATGTTCACATTATTTATTTATTTTTATTTTTTTCAATTTTCAATTTAGCAGACCTAGTGGGCCCCTGGAAACTTACTTTTGCCCTTGGGCTTAAGTTTTTGTACCAAACTCACATGCATATAGCTAGTCATGTATGATGAGCACCTTGGATTTGAAGAATTTAGTGTTTCGGTAGATCTCCCAATTATTTATCTTTGAGCACAGCCATGATTAAGGCAAACCAAGGTCCCTGAAATGGCTTGAAATCAAGACTAAAATTAAACTAACTGATTTGACCTTACCCATTGATTTTGTTTATACCTCTGTTTCCTGCATACCTGGTGCATAAAAATCTTCAAAGATGCAAAATAATTTGTGGTATGCATTCTGTAGGACGCAAAGATCGATTGATTGATCTGAAGAATGATGTTTTGTAGAACATCCTGTTTGTGTAATTTCTGTGGCTCTTCATGTGGCTGCTGTTTAACAGTGCATATTTCTTTTAGTCTTTGTTGTGCTTGACAATAGTAGGAGTATATTTTGATATATGTTATTAAATATTTATTTCAGTAAACTGTAATACAGAGTTTTGAGTCTGTATGTATTTATATTAAACTGTGCGGTTACATAAAGAAAGACCCAGGGACTCGTGTTTTTGAACTGGGACTCATGATTTTTCACAAGATGAGTCCCAGGACTCACCATAACTATTTGTAACAAAATCACAGTGACTATTACCAGTACAAAGGCACTAATTGTTTTGAAAATGGGCAAGTCTTTTTGTTTATTTATTTGTTTGTTGAGAGGTAACATTTAATGTCACATAGGTAGTCTCATTTCTATTTTACAATGACAAATAAATAATAACTAATAATAAGTTAATTTGATTTTGTATATTTAGGCATCTGATTTTGTGAGTGAAATGACAAGGTCAATTTTAAATACTGCATCCGACATGGATGTTAGGTAGGTTTTTTGTTTCAGTTACATCATGTTGGTTTTTTTTCCTTTCCAATTAAAAAATAAATAATTTATTATTATTATTATTATTATTATTATTGTTGTTGTTGTAGTTGTTGTTGTTTTTGTTGTTTTTATTGGCAAAAGGAAGCACTTTTTTCAAAGTAACTGAATTATTTAAGGTAGAGTAGGTTTGTGGTTTAATTTATTCAGTTTTCATTTTCCATTTTTACTTGATTTTCACAAACATCCTTTAGCAACGATTTACATGTAAAATGTTTAACAATAAATAATGAACCATGGAGGAAACACAACAACATACATGTAGGTTTGGCCATACAATTAAAATATTAAAATCGCACACATACAGAAAAATGAAAAATTTGTATGATACATTATGTACTAACTCTAAGGTATCTGTCACACTTACCAGTCTTTTATTTGAATCAAACTACACCTGTACTGTTACTGTACCTTTATCTAGTATTAGAATAGTATTATCTAGTTTCTTTTGTTTCAATTTCATTAGCATACATTACCATACCCAAAAACAAAAGAAAAACAAAAATTACCTGAGATAGAAAATTAACTACAACATACATGTAAATGACCTAATAAATGCCCCTTTCCAAATAAATGCCTCTTTTCTCATAAACACCCCCCTCTGCACTGCTAAAATTGTATTAGAAGGTCCTTCTCTAACAAATGCCCCCTGTCTAATATTATTACGCCCCCTATGTGTTATGTACAGTGTACTCCAAAATACTATAATAACTAGGAATTAGCAAAATCATTCAATTCATTCAGTTTTTTCCTTGATTAACAAGGCTTTGCGTATTTCCTCTTGTTCAATGTCAACTTAAGTTAAATGTAAGGATAGACTAACAACGGCAACACAATAACCCTGAGTAAGGATTCTGGCATCATCGATGTTGCGATTTGATAGAGAGATGTGGATCTCTAGGTGGCCTAGAAGTACATGTTTTATTAATTGTTGGAGTGGATATTCCACTATTGTTAAACTCTCTTAATATTAAATTTTTTGCCCAAAAGGTTATTAGTTTGGTTGAGCTTGTTAAGGTTCTGAGAATAAACACCCCTCTCTTTTAAACACCCCCTCTTGGACCCCTAAAATTAAATAGATGCCCCAGGCATTTATTACACAATGTCGGTCATTTACAGTATTTAATTAAATTGTTTCAACAGGGGTCCTTTAACAGAAGTCAGTAACTTGCCATTAAAAACTCCTACCACAGGTGATGTGTTTTGGTGAATTCATTCTTTCTAACAGTAACTACAGGGAACCTTTTGAATTAAAAATAAGGAACCGATTTTATGCAGAACTAATTTTTTTGTGGACATACAGGTTTTAAAGTCAAAAAAGATGATCAGTTTGCAACTGTGAAATTTACAGTGAGTATTTAACCCTTGTGTACTTTTTAAGGTTAAAAGAAACTATTAATATCTTAATAACTGGTTTTAGCCAGAGAGTTGCCAAGGCAGGCATTGATCATGCCTATAAGGACAAGTTGTCCTTCCAGCTTGTCCTTCTGATAGGCACCCTGGCACATTTTGCTTGTCCAGGGCCATTGCTTGCTTGCCTTACAGAAGGCAATGATTTAGTTACCAGATGACTCGTCTGTACCCTTGGCCATCAGACAAGTTGGGCTACAAATTAAATAAAGGTAACTTGCGCCAAAAGAGCTCTCCTTGTCCCAGACGAGTAGAAATGACTTTCTTTGAGCCCTGTGAACTGTGTTTATCAATTTTTCTATGGATTACTTCAAACACTCCACAGGAGTGTTACTGAGTGTTACTGGTTGGCATCTCAAGTGGTATTAAAAGAAGGTTGCACTTGCAAGAATGCAGGTTATAATTAAAAGGGGTATAAAGTCAATTTTTCCAACAGGAGAACTCTGTTACAAGTATCCATCTTAGAAAGTTGTTTCAAGAGATTATAGCATGACTAATGAATAGCAGAAACCAATTCTAGGTGTCAAATTTAGGGAGATGTGTTTCTTACAGATCTGTCTGATCCAGTGTTGACTCATTTCCTCATCAGGACTGTACTCTAGCAGAGCCTGGTGGCCCCTGAAGCCTTACTTTTTCTCTTGGGCAACCAGGAAATTTTGTGAATCATATACTAGGCACCCTGGATTTCACAGGTTCAGTGCACAGAGTTCCCTACAATTTTTCTTAGAGCACAGCCTTGCTCCTAGACTTATTGATGTTGAGATGAAATCTGACTCCAACTTTATAACATTTGGACATTCTGATGGTGTTACTGTACCATTCAATTAAAACCTCTTTGGCTAATAAAAATTTGTAATTTGAAAATTTTACTTTGACCTGTCCCTATAAGAAGTGGAAGACAGGGCTGTCACTAAGATTTCAAGTTGCCAGGTAAATACAACAAGAAGGCGGGCAATCAAACAGCTAGG